TGTTTGCTCTCATCTCGCAACTCAACATGTACTAAGTCGCATCATTCCTCCCCGAAGAAAGCCTCTCTACCTATGAATGATTCCGTTAATTCTTCGTGAATGAAGGCGCGTTTCGCTCACTGGTAATACCCGGGTCGGCTCCTTCGAAATCTCTACTCCATTTTCTATCGATTGCCCGTGATCGGCGGCGGCGAGCTGCGGGTACGCGGGCCCCATGCGGTGAAGCCCCCGTCGGGCTGCGCTTTACGTAAGTTGGTCTGCCGCGGTGGCGGCGCGTGGGCGTTGGGGCGGGCGGACGAGATGGCGCTTCCTCCCCGGCCGCGGTGGCACGCGCGTGCATGTGACTGGGCCGAGGGAGGCAAAAAGCGTCCTGATGGCGAGGCCGCGCCGCGAACGCGACCAGCGCGGCCGGCCGCTCGGGCCATCTTCCATCGAAGGACCCCGAAGCGATTTTAGTGCAATTTTCTGCTTTCGATGTTTGTTTTTTCTGAAATTTTGTGGAATAGGTAACGGTTTTATGCTTTTTACTGCATCTAGACGGTAATTCTTGTGTGTGAGGGGGTTCCCATCCAAATAAATTGGTTTAACATTATTTTTCTTGTTAATTCATTTCAGTTGTCACTTAATAAACCTGTATAAATTATTTACATTTCAGAATTTTTATTGCGTTATTGTTCACTCAATAACGCTATAAAAATATTGAAATGTAAATAATAAATGTAGGACATAACCTACATTTATTCCGTGGGATGCCCCTATTCCAAATTTCATTTTACGTAACTTATTGTTAGAATAAATGAAATGTATACAATAAATACAACCTGTATTTGTATATTTCTGAAAATAATTCATCTAAATATTTAAAATCCAGATTGACCTGAAAAAAACGGGTGATTAAGAAATCTTATATAAACAGATACTTCTTGTTCGGAAGGGCCTAGTTTAAATGGATGATGGCGAGATGATATGGATCACAATACGAAGGAATTTGCATGTAGAGTGCCTTAGCATCCTTTTTATCATGGTCATTTTCTAGGGGACTGTCGCACATTCTTGTTCGGAGCCTAAATTCACATAATTGAGAAGTTTTAATTTCCAAACTGAGTAGTATAACCTTAGCAACTTCTATTTATAAAAGTGCAAATGGTAATAATGGAAGTATCGTTTTGTCACATGTTGCAACGGAGACAGTCATTTGCGTCCTTGGCGTCATTTTCTTCGCTCTATGCGTAATCTGGGTCAGCCATTCGAATATGCAGTTCAGTTAGTTGAGAGTAATCATAGGCCATGAAGCGAGTTACCAGATGGCGACACGGTTATGTCCTTGGTGCATTCGCCTGAGAAGTATCGTTTTCTTGTGCTTTTCAATTAGACACAGTAAACAAGATCCTTCGTGCTAATCAACTAATAAATCTACTTGGTACTACCGGTTAAAAGTCTCGTGCCCTTTGCAGGTGTCTTTCCCTTGGTCTCGAAGCAGATTATACGCTCGAGTCTGTACACTCTCGCTCACCGTATACCTACCGTTTTGCTAGACGTTCTGGTTTTGTACGAGTATCATATTTCTTCTAAATTAATACCCGCTAATTCTGATCAAGTAGGCGTATGTTGCTGTGATTATTCACTACGGCTGTGGGGTCAAATCTCGCATAAAACGTGGTCGTTTTCATCTTGTGGTTGTGGCGTGGAATGCAAAGATATTCGCCACATATCCCATCACGATTATTCCAATCTTTACATTCTGTAAGTATATCTTAATCTTTTCTTTTCGACAATAATTTTTTGGTGATTCATGGAAATTATCGTAGGGGAATACTTATGTATCACGTTCTTCCTTTTTAAGCCATTATATAGTATCGGTGGCTTTGAATGAGCTTTTTACTTTTTTAGTTTTAAGCTTCAGCAACTGTCGTGTGTCTTCGAATACATGAATACGCCACAGCTTGTAAGTTAGTCAATACGTGTAACCATGACCATTGCATTAGTTGAAGTGATATCGACGTTCTTGTCAGGATGATAACACCATTTGTTTTACTCGTCACACGTTTTCGTGTGCTGCGTTCAGAACAATGGTGTCAGGCGAAAGCGCCCTTCTCCCTTCTCTTGTTCGTAGCCCTTTGTAACGCAAATCGCCCTAGATAATCTCTTCCCGGGTTTGTCTGTAAGGTCTCTTGGAAAAACGGATTTGTCACAGAGTTCCAAAGCGGTGGTTCTTTGAACACATGGACAGCAAAGTGCGCCTTGCAATGCGTACTGTATGCTTGTAGAAATAACATTTTGTTGTTAATTTGCGTCTCGTTGATTTACGTTTCGTCCCGTCGTACGGCGCAGTGCTCATTCATGCGATAAATGGAATGACAACATATTCGCGGAGATTTTAGCACGTGCTAGAGCCACATGATTGTTCGTGGTAAGGGATTTCAGCCTTAATCGCGTCGTGGGTCTATCAGAAATTAGCGAAAAAGCAGGTAAGCTTATGATCGAAAGTAGTTCATGATGGGACAACTGTAATTTACATAAAGAGATAATGAAATTATGTGACGTGTCTGTGAATATTAATAGAATAGAAGAGCTTACTTTCACAGCGATGCAACCACATGAAAGTATTCCACCATTTTGAGGAATTGTCGAATCAAAATTTCATAAAGATTTTGGGTGGTAGATGCCGCGATAGTATATGGTGAGTATAAGTGAGATAATTAAAAATAAAACCTGTAATGCGTGAGCTTTTTTTATCTGGACTTTCTCTGTACTTAAGCAATGTAGAAATTATTCTATTAAAACTCAAGACTCTTTAACTCATATAATCCAATCAGTTGAGAATCAATTTACGTGTGTACTGCGATCAGGCCAGTGGGCGATTAATTTGAGAAGTTCTAAAGTATTTACGCATCGCTACTTGAAATACATTTTTCTCCAGACAGATGAGCTAGGACACCAGCTGAAAATGCGTGGGAAGTGTCAATTGGGTAAATGTAGTTAGGGATAGATTTCAAGGGTGATTTTGGTTTATTCGTCACCAAAAAGAATAGTGTAAGAATTGATACAAATAACGTCAAAAAGCTTACGAGAATGTCACTTTTACCACTCGTATCATAATTAACTATTGGCATTTTATTTTACGAGTAGGAAACGTGACATGTGGCCGAGTGGCGCAATCGTGCCAGCAAAATAGTCATTTGATCACGTGTGTCACACACTATTTTGTAGACAGCCTTACCGACTGCTTTTGTTTTAATTCAAGTATACACATCAACCCAATTGGTTACTGCATTACACTAAGATCAGTCGCAGCTGATCTGAAAGTATTAAGTTTGTTGTGTTGCTTTCGCTGATTTATCTGAACATTTAAGCACTGTCTCGCTTTTTGATTTACTGCTAAACATTTTTACCATTCTGTGCGTGCCCTAAAAGTAACAGATTTTACTAGTACCGCCCAAAAAATAAATTCTTTAATAGGAATATTGAAGTAATGCCATTCTCATCGAACATAAAAGACGGTTCGTAATCACCTAATATGGACGTTGACTTTCTTCGCGCTTTTAAACTCGCAATACGTCGATGTTTAATCAAAGAATAATCCTTGTAAATAAAATATCTTTAAATAGGGTATACTTTTCTTGAGTTCTAGCAACACCAACAAAGCATTTTCATACTAACATTCTCCAATCTGTAGAATCATATAAATAATAGGAAATATAGCTTCAACCCAATTCAGCCAACAAGTTCTTATAACGAATGCTAATCATTTTTCCGTATCTTACCGACCACGCCCCCCCCCCAATTTGTTAGGGATGACAGAGTGTAAAAGAAATCGCTCAGATGATTCAAGGAACTGTAGTTACCGAGGGAGGCCGAGGTAGTGATTGCGCCACCGGGTGTAAAAGCAGTCAGTATTTCCGTGTTATCGATTCCTTTCACTCTGCCGACGGGCCTCAGTTTCCTAGAAGGAAGTGAGGGCGTATGGACGCATCTTTTTGCGAGCGCTGAAGCTTCCATCGACGCGGAGGACGCCACCAGTACATCTCAGGTAAATGGTGTTGGAGAGTCGTTGTCTACGACGTTGCGCTCATGAGCGTGTGCTTTATTGTCCCTCGTCACGAACCAGTGGAGATGATTTAAACGCTATTGCCCCTTGTTTCTTTTGTGTTATAAAAACTCGCGTGCTAGCATTTTGATCGTTCATTTTAAATTCCGTATTTGCCAAAAACGATTCACAAGTAATATTATCGTTCTAAGAATATTTCCACCGTAGTTATACAATTTTAATTATTTATGTTATCTTCAAAAGAAGTTACGGTTTTGTAATGTTTGTGGAATATACGAAAGCTAATGACATTCACATTAAAATATATAAGACAAACAAGGAATGGCATGAATTCTTACTCAGTGCTTGCACACAATTCGGAATTCATTTTTATTCGAGAACTTGATTAAAGAGTGAGAAACGTTTAAGGAAACGAAACTTAAATTATCCAACGATCTTATATGTGTGAGGCGTAATAACGATAGTTTTCTCTTTGTGCGCTGTTTGTTCACTGTAGTGCATGTACCATTTTAATCTGTTCTGTTGTTATATATATTCCTTGTGAGGGACAGTATTTAGTTTTGCGTGTCAGGTGTCGTGTGTGAACACGTTTCAAATTTTTGTTCATAATTGTTACTTTTGCAATTAATGTTCGACATTCGAGCTGAAACCCTGTAGCGGTGGTTATACTCGTATACCTGCTCTTCTAGGTACGTTGTTGTGGTGTTTCATTATTTTCTTCAAGAAGAATACCTACGTTTCAGGTGTTCGGCAGTGAAAAGAATCACAGTGCAGACAACGCGAAACCGTTTGGGGGGCTCTTTCCTCACCGTCCGCTCGCGCTCGTATACAAAGCGGCGACGCTCGGTGCGGGGTTCGCCGGAGAATGGAGTCGCGCGGGGCAAGACGGCTGCCCGAAGTGCGGCGGCAGGGCAGGTGTTGGGCGAGAGGGACAATGGTGGCCGGGAGTTAAATGCCCCGCCCGCCCGCCAGCCAGGCCGCGCCGTCGCGCTGCGTCCCGTCGGGGGAGGCGAGCGGTGGCGGCCTTGAGGCGGCTGGCGCGGGCGGGGACGCGGGCGCGGGCGCGGGCGCGGGCGCGGGCGCGGGCGCGCTCCTGCAGAGGCCGGAGGAGCTGCGCGAGCGCCGCCGAGGGCGAATTATTCTAATTGGCGCAGCGGATGATGCGCTCGGGTGCCGGCTGCCGAGCGCCGCCGCCACCGCCGCCACCGCCGCCGTCGCGCGGAGGGGAAGGCGAAAATCGGGCACGCACAGCCTCAAGCAAGCTGCTACTCGTTGATTCAAAAAAATCTCCACTCACCTGTTTGAATGTAAAATGTTACACACGTGCGATAAACAAAATTCAATTTAAAGTAATATCTTTATTACAGTTATCTGTAGAAAGAGTTGCTTCATTTATAAACATTGTTAACCTTAAATTTTCCTTATCTTCAGTTTTCGTAAAGATGTGATAATTAACGAGTTTAAATTGTAAAATACTATACAATCTTCTGGAATTAATTATTGTAATGAAGTGTTCTTACGTGATATCTAATAGCCAAGCATTGCGCCCTTTCTTTGAACCTCCGTAAAATCTGGCAACAGTAGGAATCGGCATTTTTAAAAGATCGGTCCCTTTGCTCGTGTTCATATTTTGAAATAAATTATTCAGCTAACAATGCCGTTAAAAATAGCCTGCCGGAAATAAAGAATTTCTTGATACAAACCTTGTTAATTATTCATTTGGTCCAAATACTTCTTTGAGTGCAAATTGGATCACCATTTTGGAACTTATTCAAATTGTTTGTCAAATAGAATTGTTGGGTTTTTGCCGCGCTGTGGAGCTCACCAACACCGAAACAAACTTTTCGGTCTGCGGTTCGAAATTCTGATGATCTATGCGCTGTTCGTGATGATCAGTGATTCGCTTCTTATTTTCATCCGTGATCTCGTTTTCTGCGTCTTGCGTTACTTCCATAGTTAGTTATTCATATCACTTCTAATTCTCCGTTTTCTTGTAGTGCGTCGCGCATGATGTTGGAGATGCAGGGAGTGAGCGAGTGCATGTGAGAAGTTGAACTAGAGAACAAAACAATTGTTCTATTTAGAATGTCGCGGACGGAGCGAATCGTTCTGTGCATACATTTACTATTGTAGTGCGTACGTATCGTCTCGCAGTCTCTCGCTGTCTTATTTGAGACGCTGCGCCGCGCCTATTAACGGGTAGAAATACCCGTCTGCACGAGGAAATGTCATGAAAGAATGAAAGCTTCAGGTACTAGATAGTTCGTTCATCCCCATTGCAAAAATGTAAAATATTATTATGTATCTCGCTCGTGTCTGTTATAAAAAATAAGGAAGACGTAATGCAAGAAGGCCGATGAATCATTAGCTGCAAAACATTTTTTTCTTCTGGTAAAATGGAAACCATATATCGGGTCTTGAGATATTCGTAGTCAGTGGAAGGCAATGGTAGTGTATCATGCGTGAGGTGGATGAAAGTTTTGTGGACCTTATTACGCGTACTTCATGCTGCGGACAGTCGAATGAGAATCGCTTTCTCCAAGGCAGTCGTCGAAAACGTTGCGACGGGATCTGCACAATGTGCAATAATAATTCCACGAAGTCATTATTGTTTTTTTTTTTTTTTGCGCGTAAACATGTGTAAGTATCGCGTTGGTTGGCACGCATTGGTTGGCGACGCGATTTTTTGTGATCGGTTTCATGGAATTGTTGAAATAGCTTTCGCGTTGCGCAAGAAGTGGACATGCGGGCGGGTGGGATTAGCTGGTGCAGCCGTGAAAGCGGTGCAGCGAGGGCCCCTCCCTTTACCTGCTCTCTTTCCGCTCCGCCCCTCCCTGCCCCCACCCTCCTTGCAATTGCCGGGGAAAGAGAGAGGGGGAAGAACTGGCTTCTGCGCGACGTCGGCCACGCGTTTCCATGTCGCTATTCGGGGCTTGAGAGGAATTTCTGGATCCCTCCCGCTTTGGTATTTCCTTTTAATGGAGGAGAGCCTGAAGATCCACCTTTGGAAGGAGAATTTTAATTTTCGGTAATTAATAATCTTTTCCTACGGGAAGGGTACTGAACGTTTGGAAATATAGATTGATGAGCAGTGAATGTGGGCGACTAAAAAACAATTTGAATTGTTAGTTTTATTATGTTTATTTTGATCGTTTCCCTACATTTGTTATATCGACGTAGTTTTTTTTTGGTCTATTTGATGTTACTATATCTATGGCGATTATTTGAACATTAACCCAGTCATGTTGAGAACTCTAGTATTTGTAATGGATTTTGCTTTGGGAATACCGAGTGTGTGAACCTGAATATCAGGAATCGTGTGCAGTAATTGATCAGGAGCAGTGTCGAGCCGCGAGCGACTTCACAAAACGCGTTGCGAGAGTCCTGAACGCAGTGACACGCGAACTGGAGTTCATTCCCCCGTCGCGTCGGAGCAAAATCCTGGCTGCGACCTGTCCTGACAGATGACAACCGGTGGACCGATTTGCGGAGCTTCATATCATAACGCGACCGGAAGTCCCTCGGGGCACCTTTCCCGGAAGTCGCCTCCCCCGCTCCCTCCCTCTCGCGCGAGCGTTGCGCAACGCCCCTGCTGCGTCGCAGCCATTTCTAGGACACATCACCCACACACGGCCCTCGCAGGCCACACGGACAGGCAGGCAGTGGCTCCTCGCCCTCGCCTCGCATACCTCTTTCACCTTTTCCCGCCCTCGCCTCGCATACTTCGCCCCATACTGATGGAGATAGGAGACCGTCCGGCACCTGTCCGTCTCCCGCACACTTTGAGCGTGTAACTAGATACGGGGTCAGATGTGTGAAGCATTACAAATAACCTGTGTAAACTACATTAAATTGAATTTCGACTTAGTGTAGCAGCAAATAATTCAACTATTAAAATGTAAGGGGCTCGTCAAATTTCAACGGCAGTTAATTTGCGATGTAATCGTTTATTATTTCGCATATTGATATACATCAGCTATTGGCGCAATTTGTGTTCACTCTGCGTTAATGACTCACTGTAAATAACCGCACAAACTGAAAATGCTACACTCATATTTCGTCCCTTCTGTCTCCTTCGCTTTCTTTTCCATATTCGTCCGCTCCCACTGTCCCTTCTATCCATCTCTTTTCCCCCTCCGTCTTGTACTTTTCTTTGCGTCCCTTCTTTTTTTTTCACTTCCATCGCTTTATCGTCCTTTACCCCTTTTTTTTTTTATTTTTGTCAATCTTTTCACTCTGTTTTCACCCTTTTTCTCCCGCACATTTCTTTCCCTCGTCTGGTTCTCCCCTTCGTCACTTTCCTCCATCAGCGTCTGGGGAGCAGCGCCGAGGGCCAGAGGAGGGCGTGGCGGTGGGACTGCGCTGCGTTGCGCTGCGCTGCGACGGATCGCTGCCGCCGCCGCCGCCGGTCCGCGACCCGCGCAACCACGTGCGTCGCCCTATTGATCGCGGCCCCGCGGGCGGTCGATGCTGCGCGCGTAAGGGAGGGCGGGGCGGAAGAAGGCACTCGAATGCCCTCGCCGCCGCCTGTCTGGTTCGAGCGAAAAGTAGGGAGGGGGCGTGGTTCGCGCGCGACGCCCCGCCGCCACCGCCGCGTCGGGGTTCTCTGCGCGCGCTCCCGCTCCCGCGCACGTCTTTTATTGGTTTGGGTGGCACTTTCTAGTGCCTCAGTCTCTAGTTGAGGAAAATACTACGTATTCCGTATATGTTTAGAGACAATATAATTGTGTCGAAATGTTTGTAGGTACGCTAATTTGTGATTCTTTGTATTCGTGGAATTACTAGTGAAATTCGCACAGCTCATTCAAAACCTCAAAGTTTGAAAATGGAAGTCTTTTTGTTTTGTTTCAGACGCCGAGATAATTTTTCTTAACAGTAATATAAAGTTGCTAAAATCTATTATCTTAATAATTTTCGTGTTTTAGATCACTCCTAGTATTCAAATTGATAATAAAATGAATTATCTGCAGAAAAGTCGTATGGGAAAATTTGCGTCATAAGATAGCCTTGCTACTTTATGCGGACTTTGTAAGGCGATGATAGAAAATAACTACCAGAGGCATTTCCGAGTGCGTCAGTACAGTGTTTGTTGCAGAGTTAAAAAGAGTTTTATAAGTATCTTCAATAACACGAACGGTATTAATAAAAACTGAGAATGGTGACCGCTATGTCAGAAGTAGCACATCCTGTTCCTCTTCGCTTGTGGCTCCACTTCAGTCATGTCCCTCACACCTCTTGTTATCTCACCCTTTCCAAACCGCTCATGTGACCATGCTCTCTTTGAGCGCTGACGTCCGGGGTACTGTAGGTAGCCTATTCTTTCAACCGGGCGCTTCTTTATGTCCGGGGATTTACTCACATTATCTTTTGTCCATTTTCAATACTTGTTTATTGCCATCCTTGTTTCCCCTTAGTATTTTACTCCTCACCTCACTTTTTTCCCCTCTGTACTCTTTATGTATTATTGCAGTGAAATGGTATTGCAGTATACATTTACATGCTATTTTACGAAGCGCTTTACGTGTATTGTCGTCTACACTTCTAGGTCTAGTGGCCCGTCAGCTCCCTTAGCATGAGTATTTGAGTTTTGCCTCACCCCGTTCCCGACTCCATTAACGACATTTTCTCAATTTTTAAGTCTCCTAGTAGGGTATAGTTGAAATTACTTGAGGAATATAATAGGAGGGTAAAGCCTGATTGTATAGGCAAATATTCATTGAAAAAATTGATGCCGGTTTTTCAGAAAATGTTCTTTGAGTCTGTGTGAAAAAATGCTTATTTTCACTGAAGACTTTTGAGCTTTTGAGACACTTCATAAGAAATAGTTTGAAGCACTTGTGTTCACAACTGCATAAAGGTGCAAACAATATCTCAAACAAGTATTAACGAGGGGATTGATTTAAACAAAATTACATTTGTGTAATTTTTTAAAAATCGAATGATTACATCAAAAATGCTTTTATGTCATGTCAATAAGTGCATTAGGACCGCCCATACAAAAATGTTAAAGATCGAATTTGGGGAATTTTTGATAAAAAATATAACTTCCCTTGCAGCTTGAAGTGAAGTCTCCCCCATTTTGTTGTACTCCAATTTTTCGATATTAATGACCCACAAAACGTACTTTCTGACTACAAAACGTGTTAGAGGAAGTTATTACATATAGGAACAATAATTATCCAGTTTTTCGGTATCAGGGTCCTACATTACGATTTTTTCTTGCCGAAAATGACACTTTTTCACAGCAGCATTTCATAACACTTCATACTACGTATCTAGCATGCGAATGCAAAATTTTGGTGATAATTTTTTTTATTCAAATATTTGGAACACCAACAATACCCATTAATAGTTCAAATAGCTCAAGATGAATTCGCACTCATTATTATGATTGTACGGGTGATTTCAGAAGATTTGGCCATATTACGTTTTCTCTATTTGCCGGGTTGCTAGTTGGGTTATCGTGCCCATAGTATATGTGTGTTGAAATAAAAGTTGGGTTAATGTAAAATCTACATGGCTTTATTGTGGAGCGTTGGAATGAATGAATCATTTGCGCTAATTGAAGAACGTGACAAGTGATTTTGCCACAAGAATGATCAAAGAAACTGATAGGCCGGATAGATCCAAAAGATTCAGACAAATGAAGAAGACGGCATAAAATTACTTTTGTTGCATTCTTTGAATATGTCAAACTAGTAGTACTACAATAGCACATTTTCACGTATTAAGGATAGTGTCTCGGTAACGGGTTAAATTTCATTTCATATCCTAACACATCAACCATCACACGAAAGTCGCAAAAAAATGTAGCTCAAAGTTACGCGAAAACAGTTTTGGCGCTATTTTCCGATTTTCGGATAGTGACTTGTGACGGTTCAGCTGAACACAGTTATCCAATCAGTAGTGTCGTTACAACTTCAGTTTTAGGTATTGCAGCTCACGAATTGATAACCGGGTCACAGCTGATGAACTTTCACAATTCACTATATAATAAAAAATCGGAGAAAAGTGTAGTGCATAGGCAAACGATCTGACAGACAGGCATTTTGAAAAAAATAACAGTGTTTCGGTATCACGCTCCTCCAATACATGTATTTCCGTCAAAATGTCGACATTGATGTTTTGCAACATTACTTAACCTATATGAGAAAGTAAAAAATAATTGAGATTTGATGATGTGATACATTCTACATGAATATTTTGTGTGTTTTTTATGTAATGTACTACTTGATGTTATTAGTTTGCACTAGTCATGATGAGAGAATCCTCTTTGACTAATAACTCCCCCCATTTTTCCCTCTTGTCGTGTTACGATGTTCCCCATTATTAGCATACTGATGTGCTTTTTTTCTTTATTCTATGAACTGATAATTTGTCTATGCCCATGCTTCGTGCAGCGAACCAAGGACTCGTTGCGCGATGTCGCACGTAGCTTACGTATTGGCTGTTTCTGCGACTTCAGGGGGCGTTCCGTGCTTGTCGGACGTAGGCGGCTGAATGCGTCATTGTGTATAATAAGTAAACTGCCTATCGCCTTTGCGATAGTCTGTTGCGTGCCGCCTTTGATGCTTCGCAATTTGAGTTATTGTATATCCCTTTCAATTCCACTGTAGTCATATAGCTACACTTCTTGGTCTGATTTTATAATTTCAATGTCATTATAACCAATTACCGCGATTTCGATGCGTTTCTGTGAATTATTTGAATCATCTATCAATAGATCACAGCATATACATTTGTTCTGTAGATTTTTGGGTTGAGAGTTGCTTCCTCATGGGCGTGCAAGTTTTATTTTCAGTGTTGCAGGATCCAAATGTTTCTTGAATTTGTCAACGAGGATAAATTTCTGAGGCAAACTATGGGATGCATGAGAATTGTGTTGTTGCCATTTGGCTGCAATGGGCACGTAGATCATATTTAACGTGCGAATGGAGATTCATTCTTCTCTCTTATAAATGTGTTTAGATAATTATATATACTTAATCGGAAGTGAAGATAAGTATTTATTCGTAAATAGATGCTTGAATAAATGTTTAATTGGCAAACAATCCAATTACTTTTGTTTGTGAAACTTTTTGGCCCACTATTTGTTTCTACATACCCAACTGGGAACATTCGAAAGTAATTCAAATTCAGCAAATTATTTGTTATGTGAGACGTTTTCAAGATTGAGCAATAGTTTTCAACTGAGCAACAGTTTCCAACGCATGTAGTACATGTCCGTTAACTAGTCAAGTGTATCTGCCTAGTGTTGTCCATTGATGACAATGTGTGATATGAAGACGAGGTATTGAAAAATCGGCAGTTGTGGATTCGTGTTCGAAACAATTATTGGTTGAAGCTTGATATTGAAATATGATTGTGAAGGAGTGCTATGCCAGGGCAAGGTTGCAAAGTATCGCTGTAGGAAGTTGCTTTCAACGACTTCGCGAGAGACCTCACTGCCGTTGCCTACTCTTAATCCTTGAAGTGGCAGTGTCCTGTGAGAATGTGGTCCGCCCCTTCTCGATGGCGGGGAGCATTTCCTCACCGATCGCCGACGTTTTGTGACAGCGCTTGTGTGTGTTGCTTGGCTGCAGGTCGGCCGGAGCCATCGCGCGGCCCCGCGCCCGCGCCGCCGCCGCCACCGCCGCCGCAGCCGCCCGCGCCAGCGCTCGCCGCGCCGTGGCCCGCCGGGCGAAGCATGGCCCCCGCGCACGCGCCCTCGCCCGCTCGCCGCGCGCTGCTGTGGTCCACGCTGCCCGCGCTGGCCGCGCTGCTCGGCCTGCTGTGGCTGCGCCGCCGCCGCTGTCGCCGACGCCCTCTGCCGCCCTCAGCTGCAGCTTCAGCTGCCGCCACCGCCGTTTTCACGTCTCTAGAGCCTGCTTCCACCGCGCCTCAGTCGCCGCTACCGCTCACGCCCACCGCCCGCGCTTCTGACGGTCCGCCCCGCCCACGCACGCCGCACGCGCAGGTACGCGTCTTTCCGTTGTCTTGTGTTTGGTCTTCATTCAATTGCGCTGGTCATCACATGGCAGTTGTAGAACGTTCATACATTTAATTATGCAGTAATGAAAATTGATTGTAAGTTGTTTCAATGGATAATTAAAAGTACTTCTTTAATGAGTCTTTTATGACTGGTGCCAGAGTTTTAAAGTGTACAAATTTTAACCAATCAATATCCCCGGCGTTCAGTGTAGACCTACCTACGTCCATGAAGAGTTTATTGGTAGTGTGCTTCTGCTTCTCGCACTGATTCGACGCAACGTACAATTTACTAATCCTTTTGTAGTGTCTTCATTTCACGAAGTGTTGAAAGATTTTTCAACTAAACTTCATCCCAGTTCCAAAAAAAAATACATAGTGACTTGAACTAACCCCGCGTTTTCAAATCAGCTTCATGTGATGAACCCAGACTAGTGTCCAATCGTGCTAGTACGATCGTTAGCAAGCGACGTTAGCAGCTTGAACGTTTTACCATCAGGATTATGAGAACGATTGTTCGAGTAGTTAAAATCGCCAAGCTTCCCCGCCGGTCTCGATTCCCGACCAGTCTGGCCCGTACTGGCGTGGGTCTGGCATGCGAAGGGAAATGCCTTTTGTGTGTGAATGGCGCGGCTTTCAGGTGACTTGTTACACCGCTTATTGTTGTGCAGGTGGAGAAGCATCCGACTGCGCGTGAGCAAGAGCAGCAGCAGCAGCAGGCCAAGGAGCCTCCTGAGCGGGCCGCCGACGCACCCGCTCTCGTCTCAGCGCCAGAGCTCCCTCCCGCGCCCGCCCACGGCGCCCAGCCTCGCGAGCAGCAGGCCACCGACGAGCCCCCGCGGCATCCCAGCGCGCACTCAGAGGAAGCTCCCGGCCCAGCGCCGGCCACCGGTGCCCGCGCCGCCCCCAGCGCGGCCCCCAGCGCCGCCCCCGGTACTGCCGCCAGCGCCGCTCCCAGTGCTGCCCCCAGCGTCTCCGCCGCCGGCGGAGATACTGCTCCTGCGGACTGCCTCCGCGGCCAGCAGGCAGAGCAGCAAGTACATCAGTGCAGTAGTCAAGAGGAGGAGACCAAAAGTCTGACGGAGGGAACCGAAGAAGTCATTAACCGGGAAGTAGAGGAGGTTCAAGAAGGTGCTGAAGAAATCGTAGAACAAGTGCAAATCGCTTGCGTTCAAAAGCAGGAAGGAGCCCTTCCAGAGGTTTTGCAGTCGACATTCGGCTCCAGCAGTCCGGAGCACGAAGGATTGCACACTACTCTTGCAGACGACCGGAGTGGAGAACCAGCCATTCTTTCTGTGGGCTCGTCGCCTGAGTCGGAGTGCCTGCATAAAGAAGGGCGACAGGATCAGGAAGTCAGGGACACCAGTGAAGAACAAGAAAATATAATTTCTAGTGAAACTGCTACGGAATCTTGTGCGGAGTCAACTGCCACCATTATTGTTGATAGTACGCCACAAGAGTCGTCAGTGGACTTTGAGAAGTGTGTTTTGAATCCAAACCAAGCTAGGAGCGGTGACAATTCAGTGCACAATTCAAGTGAGAGTTTAAATAAATTGGAAGACACAGACTCGAACGAATTGAACCCAGTGATCATTGAATCTAGTGATTTTGTGCCAGAAGTGAGCAGTTCAGTCAAAGACCCGAAGGTAGTTGAATCGATGGAGAGGAGAAAGAACACCGAATCTGTATTGTCGATGAAAAATTGTGAAATTTCGCCCCAAGAATTGTCAAAAGAACATTTAAAAGTTGAAGAGTTTGCTTCGGAAATATTAGAAGGGTTTAGCCGAATTGGTAAAGAAATAAAGAATACTCCCGAACAAGTATTGCTTATGCGTAACAAAGAGGAAAAAGTTACCACAGTGGAAGTTGAAGTCACCGGGTCGACGGAAGACTCGAAGGACCTTGAACCAGTGATAGAGTCTAAGACTTTAATAGAAGTTCCAAAAGAAACTAACACAAAAGAAAAAGGAGAAAATACGCAGAAATTAACAGAGAAAACGGAGAAATCTTGTAATTCGATAGGCGATTCCATTTGCGTTTCAACATCAAAACAATCTTCGCCCGAAGCAGTCAGTTCATCAAAGAAAGTCACGAATTGTACCAAATCTTCTAAGAAAAGCAAAACTTCTTCTGAATCATCCAAAAAGAACAAATCAAACAAAAGTAGTAAATCTCCTGAATCTTCCTTTACCAAGACTGCTAAAGACGAAACGGGAGTTAGAGAAAGCAGTAAATCGCAAGGGTCTCCTAGTTCTGATCGAGAAAACGCAAAAGCATCTGTGGTCAAGGAAGTGAGCCCCGAGTCCGCAACTGAGTCAGCGCCAGCGGCCTCGCCAGAGGAACCCAAAGTTTCCCGCAGGGTGCAGGAGGAGACGCGCGTCTCGCCGCACGCCCAGTCGCCGGACAGGAGCAAAACGAACACAGCAGCAGCTGCCCCCGCAGCCGAGCCGCAGTCTCCTGCGGAGCCCAAACAGCAGGAGCTGCAGGCACAGGAGCTGGCGCGCCGCATCCAGCAGCTGGCCGAGCAGCCCAGCGACCTGTCAGCAGAAGACCAGGCCACGATAGGTGAGTAGCCAAATTTCGAGCTTTCCGCCCCCCTTGATGAAAGTCATTATTTAATTAGCTCACTATTAACTTGTCTATTTTGATATTTAATCATGAATCAAATAGAAAACGGGAAGATCTACAACTTAAGTTCAGTGTGGAAATCATTCGTTTCCTAGAGTTCACGTTCCTTTATGGAAACCAGAAGCGATAAGCGAATTCAAGTACAGAAATAATCGGAGTTCGTGTTATAAAAAAAGTGTTCTAAAATCCGTGTTATCCGAGTAGTATAAATGTCCGCAATACCATAATCCCTTGCCGGGGCCGAAGTTTTGTTCGCGTTACGGCGAAATGGGTGTTAGGCGAGGTCGTGCTAATGTGGGTTTACTGTACTTTCATTTCGCTTTTCAGTGCATAGTGAATAACTCCCCTTCACCCCCCCCCAATCACCGTTTCTCACACATTCGTTTTTTCTTCTGTATATATGCGTGTAGGTTGGGTTGTTGGTTGCTGTGCCTTTCCGTGGCAGAAGTGTCCCCTTGCTGGGATATCGCGGTGAACAAGCAAGTAACCTCGTCTGGGCAATGTTGGCATGTGAAGTCCCTCTCTCGCAGAACCACTGGATTTTATCCTCGGTGGATTTGTGATTCCTACGAACCCTTTCGAGACGAAAGGCTTGCGATTGACGTGCAGGCCGGAATAGCAACCGGTCGACTCTCAATTCCTAACGCTTTGTGGTGTTGTGCGTGCAGTGAAGGAAGAGAAGCCGAAGATGGAGACGGCGCACGTGGAGGAGAGCGCCGCCGCACCGCCCTCCGCCCCCGCCGCCTGGCGCCCGCCGAAGGGAGCCGCCAGCGAGGCCCGGGCGGACGACGGCGTGGCCGCGGCGACGGCGTGTGGTGGTGGCGGTGGCGGAACGCGTGTCGCGTCGGCAACCACAGCCCGCGGAGGGCATGCTGGCGTCGCCGCGCGCCTGCTACTCTGAGGACGCGGCGTCTGAGACTCGAGCGACTCGGGCAAGGGCTGCCGAAAAAACCCCGAACGGCCGCCCCCCCAACGCCCCCCTCGCGCACGCCGCCTCGGGCAGCTCCGTGTCGGGACGCGGCCCACGCCGCCGCCCATCCACGCCGAGCCGCCGCACGCGCCGGCCGACGCGCACGCCGCCGCCGTCGCGGCGGCCGCCGCTGCTGCCGCAGGCGCGCGCGTCTACGAGTTCGTGCTGCCGCAGCACCTCGTGGGCCGCCTCATCGGCCGTCACGGCTGCTTCGTGCACCAGATAAAGGCGCGCACCAACGCCTCCATCCTCATCAAGCGCCACCCGGACACCCCGCGCTTCAAGGTCTGCGCTGTCGAGGGTGAGTTTACACCTTTACGCTGCGCTTAATTGTGGAGTACTACTTAGCGTTAACATTTCGCATTACTTGAGGCGTTGTAAATGAAGAATTGGAGAGGTTGCTGAGATATGATCATACGAGTAACCTGTATTTTCCAGATATTCGAGTTGGTCTTTTGTGAACAGCCCTCTTTCTATCTAGTGTAATACGTTTTCATTTTTCTGTTTTGATGGCATGAAAACATAGCACTTAATTTTTTTGTCATGTGTTGATATGCCTGTCAAACATTAAGGCTTCTCAAAACTACATCAGGTGGTTTGTATTCATCTCTCACTGGCCGATGGCCTTACCATTTTTAACACGTTCTTTGAGGCGAATTGATCACTTTATTATAAAATTATGTGTTTTGAATGGAATTAAAACGTTGAAGCTTCTGTGAATTATGGCGTACTTTTGGAGCGCTGTCATTTCTTAATTCAAAGCTTGCTCCATCTGCAGATAAGACTGTCCTAGGCAGCTTGATAAATTGTGTCAAATATTGTTTTTTAAAAAAACACAAGTAATGAATTGTCTGAGATTTTGAAAATGCTTTTATCTTACGTAAGTGTAGAATCAACTTGTGAGAAATTTGCGCCGTTTGGTTTAATAATCTCAAATATTAATATTTCAGTATGTCAAGAAACCTTAAATGTTCTTCGGAATACATTGCACAAAATATATTATGTATTAATATACTTCATAAGCTATTTCGGTGTACCTTTGAGAATGCCCATCGATGTATATATAGATTGAAAAGTTAAAAACTTGAGACTCGATATAACAAACGTAATATAGGGAGACATTCTAGCCGACTTGCATCATTCTTTTTCCATAACTTCAAAAATGGCATTAAATTGTAGTTATCTGTTGTGAGGGAAATTAAAAACGTTATTGTTCACAAGTTTAAGACGTATGAAGAATAGGTATCATAGGTCATGCGATTTTAATGGCGAGATACGAAAGTTAAGTTCAAGGCGTATTTATCGCCACTGATGTATACGACATTATTACTGGAACTCATTTAACTTATGAATTAATACTACGGGGGTCATTACATCAAAGAATAAAAGCAAGCAAGTTGGTGTAGTGAAAATAATGAATTTCATTGAATTCGTCTTAACTAAGAAAATTTAGAATGAACATGATGCCACCCCATACCAACCGACTGCGCTTTTGCTACCTCCTTTAATAGTCTACGTCGATCCAGATAGCCGAGCCGCTAAGGCAATTGTGTCGTGGCGATCTCTGATCGATAGATCGCGGTTTCGAATCCCGCCTTGGGCATGGCTGTATTTGTGATCGTCCCTTCACCCTTCATCATCATCAATTCACTTCATTAAAGGAGGATTAATAATTCCCTGTGCGAGCAGGAGGCCCTTGCCCTTAAAGGGCTGTGCAGTTGGCTAATCAATAATAGTAATTTATGCAATTAGTTTATAATGTTAAGCTATATTGCATGAGTACATGTTTTGAAAACGAGCGACTTTAGGAGCGAGTTTTCAAATTTGTACGAATGTAATAAAGCAACATTTTAAAAGAGTTGCATACTATATTTTTTTGTATAACAGCATTATACATTGACCAGAGAATGAAACTTAATCTTGCAAAATAACTTCCATGTGACGACTCGGGTATTTGACATCGTGCGAGTAAACGGTGGTCGGTTGTTCCGTTCAGCTCTACCTCCCCCCGATTCTCTCGCTACGATTGGCTGAATGTGTGATGACGCAATCATTCGTGACATAAAATCTAATACGTCATCATTTGTGCCGTAAAATGCCCGATTATGAACGTTTTCTTGCAACAGAAAAGGTTCTTTTATAATGCTGGAATACAAAAAAAATTAATAATCTGCACAATATAAAAGTGCTTTGTTCACCACATTTTCACTATCTCATATCTCTCACACAAACAGTGATCGGGAGAGATAAGTTAATTCAAAATGCTTTCTGTTTATTTCAATTGTAGCAATCTTACACTTAAATGAAGAAAAACTGCTCAAACAAAGACATCTATCTCGATGGCTCTCAACTTCGCTTAGCGCACTTATGCGTATACTTTTTAATGTTTCTTTATAAAATGTGTGTTTTAGATAGTTTTTAACAACGCTCCTTTCATATGTAAATCAATTGGCGTTGATCTTTTAAACAATGTACAATCTTAGTCTCCTCCACGTTAGCGTTTAAATCACTTTTACGATCTACATCACTCTAACGCTGAAAACAAATTAATTGATTCTGTTCGGTAATATCTGTTAATTGGTTCCAATTATGGCGTAAAGAAACTCAAAACACTTGTCAAAAGATGTCTCTCTTTCGCGGTGAACATTTACTTGAGAAACGTGGATCCGAATGGATTGTGAATTTGAATCCGAATGCATGATGAATGTGTTAAAGTAGGAAGAACTTCGTTACATTTATATGTACACCCAGATACGCATTCTTAGCACAAATAATGACACACCAATGACTTAAAGATAAATTTACACAAACGACATGAAAAGTTTTGGAAAAACGTATTAGAATTGGGTTTTCTTTTTATCATTAATTTTACACATTAAACAAGTTCTCAGAAGCAAAATCAACATACTCTATTGCAAAAGTTCAATTTTCAGTCGTGTGAGTGATAATAAATTCCAAAAGAGGAGAACATTTTAACTTCATTATTAGGTGGTAAACATGAGAAAAATATTTAATATCAGAAGAAGAAAACTATCAACTCCCTTGTATGCTTTCTTCTTTTTCACCCTTTTTTCCTATTCTTTTCCTTTTTCACCCGTTTTTCCTATTTTCTTCAACCAGTGGCATCTGGATTATACCTACCAGTCATCGGTGCATATTTTATTCTCGACTCTCAAATGAACCCTTTATCATCATTGACTCCGTTTAAAATATTATCGACCCGTAGGTGATCAATTTGTTACCATGTTTGGAACCTATGGCTTATAGTTAGCATAAATTCAATTCTACTAAAAAAAAACTTTAAATTGAGGGAATTTAAGGAAATAAAATATCCTGAAATGCCTTGGAAGCATCCCAGTACGCCGAGTCATCATCGATTCTTTATGGGCGAATATGATTTTTGTATAGTTATTTTGCGTTAAGATAGAGACGTGGTGAAACATGTGTGCGAATTGACGTGCGAGGATGCGAGGAAACGTCTCGTAAGTCAGTTGAGTGAGTTTTCTCGTGTTAATAGTTGACAGTTTTTTTTCATGTACGAGGAACCTATTGAGAAGCCACATTTTTCTTAATAAATTGTGCCTTCACGGTGAAAATTTGCTCTCACAAAATACGGGGAATAACGAATAAAGGCGTCCTAAGGACTGCGTGGCCAGACGTTTCGGTCATGTGACCGGTGAATCTCGCTCGTCACTTTCGCATCCGCCGCCGCTCTCCACCAACCCCTACCAACCCTCTCCCGACTTCCCCGCTGCCCTTTCCCCTTCCCTCTCCCTTCGGCTGGCGGCGCCGAGGGCATAGTGCGCGAGTCGCCAGCCCCTCCGAGAGCGTCTGCGAGTGCGGTGCGGAGCGAGACGCGTCAGGAGCCATGCAGCGGCTCGTCAACGTGCGCTGCCCGCTCGTGCCCGTGCGGCCCGTCGTCGCCGGCCTGCATCCGCCCGTGGTCTGGATGCACCGTTGGGGTAAGCGCACCCTGCCGTCTTGTCCAGCGGCTACACTGCCGGGGTGCGGTTTGGGAGAGGAAGATCTCGGGTTGATCCGACATCGGAGAGTTTGATACTGCTTCGAAACTCGTGAAACTGTCGAGGTGTCGGTTCTTGGAAGGGATTTTTTGCTTTTGTGTTAAATTCTATTGAGTTATTTGCTTTTTGAGGCAGTTCTGTTAGTACCTTGGGGGAGATCGCAAAAAGATGCCTCATTAAATTGTGCGCCCCGACGAGGAGCGCCATTGTTCCTCAAAAAGAACCCGCGAACACTTAATCAAATAAATTGCGCCAACATGAAGCCAACATCAAAATATAAGGGCAGTTAAGTTTCAACATTCTCGAGCCAAAGTCCACAATTGTAAGTTTTGGCAGGAAGCATCTGAAATTCTGGTGAATGCCATAGAAGCCATTTCACCTTTTGCCTTTATTGATCATCTGCATGCAGTGTTTCTTCTAGAAATGACAATGGAAGTGACGAACTCATCGTGCATAGGGGCGCGTGTGGACCTTGTAATGGCGTTCTCGTGCGTGATGAAAAGCAGTGATGCAGGTCTCCTGCGAGGCCAGAGGCAGGGCGGCGGCGGTGATGTTAGCGCCCAGCTGACTGGCGGCACGGCGTGCCGTGGACGACCTTGAGGGCCTTCGCAAGCGGTTCGGCGCTCTCTGCGGCCCTTGACCCGGCGGGCCCGCACTAGGGAGCGTCGCGAGCCTGTGACGTCACGCACGCCGCGTGACGTCACGCGCAGATCGAAGCCTCCGGCATGAATGACGTTGCGGAGGGTGTACCCGGCGCCGCCGTGCCTGAAGGCCAAGGGCGAGCGGGCTCAGGCTCTTCCCCGCATAGCCTTGATGCCGGCCGACGTGCGCCAGCCGCGTCTGTGATGTTTATTTGCGGTTCTCCTAGGAGCACGCTTGCCAAAAGATGCGGGAGGAACTAGAAACTGGGCGACTGTGATTAAAGATCTGGGTCCGACGGACGCTGTAATGGCGAAATGGTGTCGCACACCTGCTCTTGTATCGAACATCCGCAGTTTAAGATCACTGGAGTGGAGTGGATGATAAATCTTAAGTGTCTATTGTGAACAACTGGAACAATGCACTCGCAGATATGTAAAATTTGTTGTGAGATTGTGTTTCTTTCATAATACTTAGGAAAGCCCGTCATCAAACCTGACATCACTTCCACATTACGTATGGGAACATCTAGTTAATAATTATTAATGGCGTCAAAACATCGAAACTGCGCATGCTGTCCATGCAAGTGAATCTTTTTACCTTTAAAGAGCAAACTAACAGTAAGAACAATTCTTTCGCTCTCAGGATCGCCGGGAAACCATAATCGAGATTCAGGAAGCATTTCGTTGTCTACAGGTAGTTTGTTGGGCGTTAGTGATATATTATTCGTATCGGAGACATTTAAAGTAAACGAAATTCTACCTGAAGCCTAGTGACGTTAGCTTTTGATGAATGCCAGTAATGTAGCTTGATGCGAGGGATGGCCTTCTGAAACTGCTGTAGCTCTAGTCTTGCAATCCTTAGATTGAGAAGGGGAGCGAAGTTGTTTATTTGTTCGGTAGCTAAAAGGATGGGGAAATCTTGAGCTGGAAACCACCGTAACCGTAGCAAGAGAAGAGTCTTCGGAGGCCTCGGTACTCAACACAGAAGATATTTTAGTGGTTGGAGTATAATACACATTGAGGTGACATCAGCAGGGGGGGGGGGGCGCGCAGCCGGAGCAATTTGTCCCAGGTCCAGACTTAATTGAGGTCCTAGGTTTCTTTTATTCAAAGCTAATAAGAAATTTACGTTTGAAATTAATCGTAATGTCTTTTTTGTTGTTTTGTATTGATAAATTGTATTTGTGCTGTCCCCTTGGACAATCTCCCCGGTTCTTTTTCTCTGGTCGCCCCCGTATACATACATCAGTCATCAATAATATACTCTTCTGAACATTATTTTTAATAGAAATATAGTTGGACCTGGCGAACATTTTGCACCTGGATTTTGTAAGTCATCGTTTTGAAAGTGAAAATAGTTCCATATTGGAATCTATATTCGAACGGCCTTGCTCCGAGCTGTGTTATATCACATGGAGTTCTAGTCTTGCGCCACTGAAGTTTGGGAGGCATTTGTATAAAACGCATGGTTCTCGATACTCTGTGGTTTCTGGAGCTCTAAAATAATTTTTGAAAGTGATGAAATGGCAGACTCCTAAATTCCAAACGTATCCTTAGATAAATCACAGAAACTGATTAAGTGCAGAACGCGATCCAACACTAATTTTCAACCATAACACCGATCTTGAATTATCTTTTTCACTAAGTAGGCATACATTTTATTGAGCTTCGTCATCACTACTCCCGATTTGTTTCTACTCATAGTTGAATCATAATTGAATAGTGTTGACATTAGATAATGAAGAATGTTCGTTCACGTGTTATTAGTTAGTACTCACTGCATCAGCGGACGAGCTACAAATTTGCTTCAGTATTGAAGAACCTCTCTCGTTCAGAGAATTAAGAGCTTAAGAAAACGCACGCGTCTACTTTCCTTAATAACCCGTTGAAGATGTTTATTTCAAGCTAAGGTAAAATTGATCAGTTTTTATGACCCTTCAGATTTGCTTTGTACTTATTAGGAACAATTATTTTAAATTTTTGCACTTTTTGTAGTTTAATTTACCACTATTCTATTGTTTGTAAATCATTTAGGATTGTTTACGTATTGCATTAAGAACTATTATGGAAGTTCGAAATTCAGTTTCATTAACAACCCATTTTTATGTTGCCTATTTTATACATTTGGGTAATGTGTACACAGGAGGATATTCTATGTTTAGAAATTTATTTCTAATGTTTAGAAAGATTCGCGTGGGACAAAAGTTTTAGAACTGCGGCTGAACGCTATCGAGAAAACGTTCAGCGATTTGTGCAAGAAGTCTTGATTGGAAAGTGTATTGTCGAGTAAAAAAATCATGAAAGCTGTAAATGACAGGGAATAAATTTTGGCCTGAATTTTTTACACAATTTATTTTGGAGACTGTTTCTATTAACTTCGACTAAAACAAAATCATAAATTTCGGAATTAAACTTGGCTGTGGATGTTTTTACCCAAAAAAGTGCATTTAGCTGCACTCTAACTACAAATAGTAAGTCGTGATAAAAAGTAAGTTGCCTACGTGGCAATTGTCGTCTGAGTTGTATTTAAAGAACTGCAAACTTAACTAACTTGTGAATGGTAAGAGCATAGAAGGGTACAAATACAAAAAAGGGGTGTTGCGGTGTGCGCAGGGACGCCCGCCGATGTGGAGAGCGCGCTGGAGATGATCCGGCAGAAGTTCCCGGAGAAGCGCTACCCGAGCGTGTCGCTGGAGCAGGTGTGCTTCGTGGCGCAGCCGCCGCCGCTGCCGGTGGTGCCCGTGCTGCCCGACTGCCTGCGCGTGAGTCCAGCCTCTTTTGATACCTAGAGACCGTTGATAGATAAACAAATTTATGGATAAATTAGCAAGTGGAAAGGTAAGAGTACTGCAGGGTGATTTGTAAAATCAATTTCTCTCTGGGGGCAGTGACATTTTGAATGAGCTAAAAGTAATTTTCCATCAAGAAAATGTTTAAATATTAGGTTTGTTGAATGTGCCTTGAATGTTGAATGTTTTCCTCGATATTTTGTGATCCTTGCCATAAAATACATGCACTATTGTATAACTATGTCAGGCTCGTTTTGTACATACAAAAATGGAACCCATCATTAGAGATAAATATTTTATACCCTTCTTGTTACAGCTGCCACTTGTGGAGGGTGTTACAAATGATGTCACGGTGTCCAGCTTGGTGACACCAGCTCATTTCTTCCTTCAACAACCAACACATCCAACGTTCCCAGCATTGGCACGACTGGGTGCTTGCATGGATGCCACTTACGGCGAAATGGATACACCAGCTGTACCTACTGTACAAGGTGGGTGAACAATTTTTTCCATTCAAATTGATGAATGTTTAACTTTTCCCCTTCAATTACTGTTCATTAATATTGACTGAAATTAGGAAATAGTTGAATAGCACAAGTGTAAACAAGCTCTTTGTGTAGATTAGCAGTGGGTGTATTTTAATTTCTGCACTGAAGATTACGGTTTTGAAGTATTAACTGATGATGAATGAGAAGGTCTCTGTATGCATTTAGTCAAGACCATATTGACACGAGTGTCCCTACTACTGGCTAATAGTCAGTCAGCTGAAGGCACTATGTTGGCTGTACAAGAAAGTTACCTGAAGTTATTTGAAAGTGACAAGACATCCTCTGGTACTAGATGTGCCACGAAATGTTGTGGATACCAGACACGGGAAAATATTCACCAGTTATATCAGGATGCAAACATTTCTGAGTATATACACTAGTTAATAAAACAAGATTCCCTAAAATAAATACTTAACCATCCAAGGACAATTTTTTTTTCTTTCAAAAAAATTAAAAATTGTTAAATTTTTTATTAATTACTTTAGTTTAATCTCCAAAAAATTGTTTAAAAATATTCTATGACTCAGCAAAGAGTGTGAGGGTGTGACGTATTAGTCACACTTGTCCTTTTGGGGATGATAACTGTGCTGGGTTGAGAGAAAATATTTAACGAGGAGAGCATTTATTTTCATAGCATACTGTTTAATGACTAGTCAAAGACTACAATATCATTAGTAAACATGTTACACTTCTTTGTTTAGTTCTTTAAAAAAAAGTCTGATTTCAAACAGCAGAAAATTAGTGTTTATTTTTTTGTATGAACTAGTCCATTGCATTTCAAGCATAAACCTATGTCACATTTTGTGCACATTGAACAACAACACTTTTGCATCCATTATTAGCACACCTTCTCTATCTACTTCTTCCCCAAGTAGATAGTCAGGTCATAGCGAATGTCGTCTAAAACTCGCATTGACCTGTTCGACAACAGCTGTTGGACCCACAGATTTGACGGATGTTTTGTATTTTGTGAGGTATGTGATAGCAATCTCTCTTCTAAATTCCAGCTTAGTGCTCTTTCTTTTTTTTTTCTTCAGTTTTTTGAAAATCAGCCGAGCACTATTTATTGCAGCACCTATAAGCCATGTCAATATTGCCCAGTACCATTTCTTCCCTCTGATTGATATGCAGTACTGATTTATGTCTTGATCCATTCAATCTCTACCACCCATGTTTCTGTTGTAAGTGGTAATAATAGCTGGTTGAGGGACATTGGTTTTTTCTTTTTCTTTTGAAGAATCTCTTTTAACATGTTCGATTGGAGATTCTCCAAGCAAATTTGATGCAACAACCATATTATTGTCCATCCATTTGTGAACAAGAATTTCATCATTTTTTTTCTATTTTTCTTCGGAATATTCCATGTTCTATCTTCATCATTTGTTCATGCAATGGTAACAGGCAATCTTTAGGAATCCTTTTTCCCTAATAGTTCCCCCGGTATCCGCGATCTTTCAAATGCTTGAGAAGGTTGAAGCTGGTGAATAAGTTGTCTGTAATTATATGGTAAGAATAACTTCTTTTATGATCTGGCAGTTCATCTAAAAATGAAATCAAGGAGGCAGTGGCTTTACCAAAAAATATTCAGTGTTTGTTACTGGGGTATTTTTCCCTTGATATACTTCAAAATTTATCAAGTAACCGTAGAATGTATTTAGGCATCATATTTATACCCAAACCTTATAGGTTTACCACAAATGAACTGCTTGCAAGGATGTGGGGCAAAGTACTTCACCATGGATTAATCGTACTCAAGAAATTCACATTCAAGAAAGTTGTCAATAAAATGTTTCTTGAAGGTTCACAAGTGGGTGGAGCTTGAATAACTGTCATGATTGTCAATATGAATATTATCAGCAACATGCAAAGTATTTGCCAATGAATAAAAATCTGTCCCTCCGCATACATTCAGATACTAGTATATTCTTCATGTCTGTCTTGTTATCCCAGTAACTTTTTTCCCTGGCAAAACATTATAACCAGAAAGGATCAGTATATTCAGAAAAGCCTTTATCTCTTCTGCCGTAACTTTCATATTATTTTCATTTTTTGACAAAGCATGTTTCTTGGACTCCATGAGGAAAAGTGAAATCACCTCTTTATCTATGAAGATTTCAAACATTTGAATGGGTGTCATATTTTTATATTTGTTGGTATACATCTTCTGGAAGGATGAGTGTGACCTATATCACACTGACTTTTGCACGCCTCTACACCTTCCCATAACAATAATAATATTAACTAAATAATTTTAATTACTTTTAATACTATCTGTAATAAATTAACCATTGACATAAATTGAATTGCTAACAATGTAGGCTATGAATTCAACTGACCTAAAATCTGTGTCCATTGAAAAAATATCATAAGTTTTAAACACAGTCGAAAAATATTATAACGCCTTCCTCGGACAAGATCGCACTATGAACTGACGAACCAGACCCTTCTGCAACTACAATGCCCTGACATGCACAAAAATATCTACTTGCAGAGACAGGAACTAAGACGTGCCACAACTTGTTCACTGCAAGTATGTCACACTCGTCCTTGGAGGGTTAACTGATCATTGTTCATGAAAGTGAGGAATTTTATTGGGACAAAACCATTCTTGGTCATATGTGAACAGTGTATTTTGTCTTAATGATCATAAAACTCATGATAAAAATGTAGTAATGACAGATTAACATTGTTGTTCTTCTGTGTATCATCGTAAATTACATAATGCTAAAGGGAGGTTTTGAGGCAGTGTTACTCTTTGTTACATAGAGGTAGGAAGGTATTAGTTTAGTGTCACATAACATTGATAATTTTTTTTAAAAATTATTCAATGTTTTTGGATACATTTCCATTTTTTCAATCTTGTACTGAAGCATTAAAATATTAGAAAATTAATGTGTTTTAAAAACGTATACAAAGAAAAGTTATTGCATGTAAATTATTACAATATCAATGGAAAAATGTTTTCAACAAATTTTTATTGAATGTGTTAGATTGTGAAGAAGATTCAAAACTGAAATGCAGTATAGTATGTGCCTCAATCTTATTGTTAGGTGCAAGCAGCATCACAAACTATTTTATTATAATTCTCATTAATTTTAATATACAAAACAAGTTTAAAAAAATACAAATTGTTTTTCTGTATTATAATTAATTTTTTCTTTTACATTTACTAGTGAGGGGGTGTTACAAGCGTTAAATGATTATTTGGGAAGAGGTTCTGTCCACATTATGGGTGCTTATGAGGAGAGATAAGAGAGAGGGGGGAGGGTATTGAAAATACGCCAAATTTGCGTTGCGCAAGTTATTCATAGTTCCTATTGTAATTGGGGGTGTTCTTCATGGTGTTTAGGGTTTTGTAAACAGATGAAGAAGAATATGCTGGTAATTTAAAAACTACCTCCTCCACCTTTTCACAAAGATGTAATTGTATTGACATTTTTTTAAATTTTCGGTTTGAGCAATTACAACAAAAATCAGTGTTTAAGTTGCATATGTGTATTTTTTCTCCTGATTTGCAGATCTCATCAGTGTTGGAAATGTATAGTAGTAATTTAGTATGGAAAATCAAACAAGAAAACACACAGAATGATATTAATTAATCCTATTAGTAATAATAATCCTTCAAGTTACTAAGATAACAAAGCATAATTACTTTTATATTCAATAAGATTGTGATAGTGGAGAATTGTAATTGTGGGATGGTAGAGAGGTTTGGTGCTGATGTGTATAGTACCTGCTTATGTGACAAGTCTGCTTTAGTGTCATGAACAGCTGTATTTGAGCAGATGGTTTTGCATGCATCATTGATAATCAGCAACATTAGCAGTAAATTAAGTTTCCAGTGTTAGGAAAATACTTCTGTACACCTATAAGAATCCTTTCTGCTTTAAAAAAATAGTTTTGATCACAATCCTCTACTCCTAGCAAAGTTAATGGAAAAATGCTTGATCGAATCTTTTAATGTTTCTTTAGAACTGTACTGCAAAAGTTGGGGGGGGGGGAATTATTTAATTTAAATGAAATTGGAGCTATTTCAGTAGCCTCCAAATTCTGTTAGTTATATAAAGTGTAACACTAATATTAATAGATATTTAACAATAGATATTTAATTTTCTGCACTTGCTGTTTGCTAGTTGTGTGCGGAAAATATTTTAATCAGAATTGGAATTGGTGTATCAATCATAATTATTGAAGGTAGTCTGGTAATGTTCTAAAATAATGTAATAGTATTATATTGTCTGCGAAGAAATGATATTTATTTACTATTCGCAGGTTTGTTCATATATTAATTCATAATTGTTTATACTTTGGCTCTTTAATTTGGAACAGATCTTTTTAACTACTGTAGCTAATCTATATGAAGTATAAAACTGCATGTACTGTTGCGAACTGTAACTGTTGTGAAATTAAACATAATAAAAAATGTACATGTATATTTATATAGATTATCTTCAATAGTTAAATAGGGCTGTTCGAAATTAAAGGGACAAAGTATGAACAATTAGGAACTCGCAAATTACAACACATGACATAACACTCTTGAATATTAATTTACACAAGTCACAAAATTTGCCCAAGTTCCCTAGCGTAAGTCTGCCTACCATACTAGTCGGTGGCTAAAAAGACTGATCCATCCTAAATAATTACAGAACCTAGATTTCCATTGCCGTTTGTGACAAAATTATATTCTGGTGCCATGCTTCCAATATTATCACATTCAGGAATACGATGCTCATTGATTAGTTGTCTTGACAAAGTGTATTCTTTGGCTTGGAATGTTTTGTATGGGTCCAATTTTTAGTAATTATACGTTCAATACAATTTGTAAATGAACTGACAAAGAATTCATAGTATTGTAAGCTCAGTAAGAAAGCTTCCAGGATTAACATGTATAGCATTTTTGAAAATTATTTGTACAATATTTTCTCCACTGTAATGTAATTTTGTTGGGGTACTAATTGGTGAGTATCATCAGAACAAGATGCCATTTAATATTAGACATTCTATTTGGAGTTTGACTGAACAGTTTGTTAGTTTAACATCAACAACAAAATTCTTTTACAAAAAAATTATTTGTTATATTTTTAAACTTTTGGAAATGTTTTAAATTACTTGCTTCACCCTCTCCAATTAAGACATTAATTTTTACTGCATTCATTCATGTAAATGAAAGACGCATCATATAATTATTTTTGTTACTACTAAATAGTAAAATATTTTTTTAAAGGTTATTGATAATCCTTGGAAAAATGTTGCTTTTCATTTGAGAAACAAAATAACTGACAGCTTTCAGTTAATACTGGTTTTTTATTTGCTTGAGAATAATTTGAGTACTTAATCCTATTTTCTGTGGGAAATTACGTTTTGCTTTGGTATAAAATAATTTTTGGTTGTTTCTTTTCCAACCTCCACAGCTGGTATAGTTGTAGCAGCACCTGTGATGGGTAGCTGGTACCGTGCAGAAGTTGTAGCTGCTGAAGAAGAGGCAGACTCCTGCCAAGTTCGTTATGTAGATTATGGAGGTTATGAAGTGCAGCAGAACGCTGCCCTTCGCCAGATTCGTTCTGACTTCATGACCCTGCCCTTCCAAGCTGTTGAGTGTTACCTGGCCAATATTCTTTGCAAAAGTGAGTGTTTTGAATATCTAATATTTATGATGAAGGGTTTTGCTAAGAAAGAAAGGGTACTATGCCTTGAAGTAAAAACTGTACTGAAACTTTGTTATTTAGTTTTCCATACAGTGTATTAGTGTGAAACTTCAGTTTTCCTGAAAGGAACAAGCACTGAAAAACTCATTTTAATTTTGAGGTTACTTATCAGTTCTCTAAGGATTATTCATTTGAGTTAGAGTATCCAAAATACCATTCTATAAGAGTAGTTACAGAGTATGATTAGTTATGAAGCAGAAGTGAGTAGGCTGCTCATACTGTCTTTGTTGCATGTCAGGACAGCCTCGTTTCGTAAATTTCTAAAACTGAAAAGTCTGCGTTCTCCTTTTCAATAGTCTAGTTGAATTTGAGATAGTTAAAAAGAACTCCTACAAATTCACCTTTCTAGTGCCTTCAGTCTCAAAACTTCCTATTATCTTTATTTTGTCCAAGCTAACTTTTTAGCTGTGTTTCCCAATGTTAAATTTCCAGCAGTTGTTTTAGCATTTGTTGTAAGATTGGCTTATTTTATTCCAGTGCCTTTTCATCTGACAAAGAAAACAACCCTAAGATACATTCTTGGCTATCTGGGCTGACCTTGGATATGGTTAATGGGGTCAATGGGGCTGATGTTTTGGCCATCTTGCTGTGGCCTTCTTCAGAGCTATACTGCTCTAGCTGCCGGCAGTATAGCTCTGAAGGAGGTCACAGCAAGATGGCCGAAATGTCAGCCCAATTGAGAGAAACGCAGCTGGTCCCATATAGCCAAGAATGTATTGACTCCAGTTTCAGGAGCCTATGAACACTTATAACCCTAAGAAGTTTAAAACTGAAACAAAACCAGGGAAATGACTGATACTAAGCTGCCCAGACTCTGTGGTTCCTGAAACATACAATGCTTTGGCATTGTTTTAGGCACCTTAATTCTGCAAATAATTTTTTTCTGTTTTCAAATATTTGTAAATCACTCATTGATTATTTTATCAATTAGTTTCCTTAATTGTGTCATAAAAGGTCATACTTGCAGTAAATCCCCTCATGATGTCTTTTGTGTGTGAGCAGATGAAGAGGAAGGCTGGAGCACTGAAGCCTTGTCCCTGATGGAGCAGATGACTGCAGGCCAAGTGCTGCAGGCTCAAGTGTGTGGCTACTGTGAAGATGGTGTTCCTGCAGTGGCCCTGTATGCTGCGGTTGGCACACAGGTGGTGTCGATTGGAGAGGAGCTGGTGGCTCGTGGGTTTGCGCAGTGGTGGGAACCTGCAGACGGGTAGAGCCTTGTGACCCTCTTTCTTCCCCGCCTTGCCCCCGGGTGTGAGCCCACCTTTTTGTGTGATGTTTAACCAGGTTAAGTATTACTTGCAAATGTGATAACGGAGTTTTGATGTATATGTTTCACTCAGAAGGTTTATTTTTGTTGTGTAGCTGCTGATTCAAGTTTTGCTGTTAGCTCTGCTAGCTTTTGGCAATGGCCAGGGCTTGTAATTTTATAAGGGGTACTGTAGAGTAGATTCAAATTTTTGCATACAGATTTATTTTGTTACAAATATAAATATAATATATATAATCACCCAGATGCAGGGAAATGTTAAATGTTGATCCTGATGTTACGTTGTAAGCTGAACACAAAGTAACAACAGTGTCAGTTGTGCACACTTGTGTGGGGTCAGGGTGCTCCCACGCCATAGCTGTGTGGGGCATTGAGTTGGCATGCTGGGCCTCACACTGCTTTTGGAGTTGTTCCTCAGCTCTCTTTCTCCAGTTGTACTTGGGCAGTAGGGCTAATCTAATACTGTATTCTTTTGTATCTATAGTAATTTAAATATATTTCAAGTTAAACTGTTTTCTGGTGTTTTATTTTATCCCTAATGCCCTTTTTTGCAAAAATAAAATGCTAAATAATAACAAATTGAGAAATATTGTTGATACCAGTTGAAAAAGCTTTCATAAAAAAACATAAAATAGCATTGACCTGAAGAGACAATGGTATATAAAACAGTGTTAGTGAAATTATAGGGTGTTTAATTCTATTTTTACCACTAATTTAAAGAAATAATGTGGTGCAAAAACAAATTGAAAATATCCCTGGTGCTTCACGTAAGTACTCCCAAATTTTGAAGAAAGTTTTTCAAAATCGCAGCACCTTGAGTCGAGCTAGATTGACTGGTGAATATCTAATTTGGAAGAAATCCTACTATGGTACTAGGATCCATGGTCCATGGTACTAGGGTCAATTGATTTAAATTCTGAAATTGGTTTTATTATAACTCTTTTGCATTTTTAAATTATACTATAATGGTTTTAGAACTATTTTATTATTATTAAAATTACAAATATGAATTAAATATGGTTTATCAAGGTGTGTAGATTTTCGAAAAAATTGTTATCAAAATTTAAACTTGCAAAGTATTTCTTCTCTTGAATTGAATTCAGTGTTGGAAATACTTAGTTTGCAAATTGCTCTTTTATAACTTTTCACCAACTTATAAAATTTTTCACGTAAAGAAGAAAAGAAAAGAATAACAATTGTAAAATTGTATTTTGGTCAATTGTTTGCACAAAATCTTTATGAATGATTTACAAAATTGTGATGAAACCTTTGTGCCATGACCATTCTTTAACGTATAGGATGGCCATGGTTATGCTGATAGTTGTTTGTTGTTGACAATTGCTTACATATGATGCGCGCATGGTGGTGATCTTTCCACCATGGTTGTGCACGTAGGAAGTTTGTTAAACATGACTCGATATCGATAAAGGAAATGGAAGACCAAGACATTCTGTCCTTTTCTGCTATACAATGTGCTAGAAAAAGACCATCCTATGGTATCCTTAATGATTTTATGGCATTGTTTTCACCAATATCATAGTTATCTGTAATATTGGTGTTAATTTTAAATTATTGAATACAAAGATAATTATAGGTTTCTTAAATCGTACATCAATAACCGTCGACTTAAAATCCTGGTATATAAACCTATGATGGTTTCGTCATGGTATGGTATTATATGGTTTCTTCGTTAAAATTCTGATACAAAAACCTGGACCCTGATGTCTGGCAACACTGGCCCTCTGCCCTTTGAGTGTGTTCCTAAGTAAGACATCCTAATATGATGTATTAAAAAGTATTTAATAGGCTGTTGAAATAAGTTTACCTCATCAAATGGGAGAGGAGAGGGGGAGCTTAACAATTCCCCTTCTATATTAAAACTCATCCCAAGGCATTGATCTTAAACGAAATTTAAATTGTTAGGAAATATGATCCACCGAAAGCAGAACTTCGTTAAATTCTACTTTGAAAAATCTACTTATAATAGTGGTGTTAAAAGAGTGTACTTTTTCGCATCAGTAACGGTCACGTAAAATTGTAATAGCGCAATTTCTGCCCATGTTATACCCATCACTTTTAAACCGCATTAAGCACAAAAATTTTAATTCATTTAAAGGTAATTCGTCAACACAAATTCGATAACCCAAAACTCCGTTCCATACCCACAAAAGCACTGTGCAACAATGAGAAATTATACTGAGAATGTCAAATAGCAGTGTAAGGGGGTTCCCATTGTTCTAATGTTACTTGATGATTCCTGTAAGATTCTAGCTAATAAAGTGCGGGAAATTCAAAAATTGAAAAATTTACGTAAACTACACAATGAAAAATTGTTCGTTCCCTTTTTTTTTTTAAAAAAAAAAAGTTTAGAACAGATTTCATTAAACAAAAAACTCTTAACATCATTATTGTACTTTTGCAGAGAACGACTAGTTTTTGCAAACAATTGTACCTGGCCTTTTTTAATCTTTTTAGAACACATTTCAATTAAGACAATATATTTCTTCATTATTATACTTTTGCAATTTACATAAACATAGCGAGTTAGCCGAAAATGGGACCAGCAGCAGTTTCTGAACCGGCCTTTGATACATACGAGGAGAAAACATTCAGAAAAAATTTCGGGTAGTTGAGAAAATTAATTCATTTTTTAATTGCCAATATTTCACGCGAAATTGCGCAAAACCATTCGAAAAATTGTACATAACCATATTTCAAGAGCAGTCTTTGGACAACAGATTTTATTAAGAAAAAATATTCATCTTCAATATTGTAATTGCAGGAAGACACAGAAAAAAATTGAATTTTTGCAGTTTTCGAAAATTAGGGGATTTCAACAAAAATGAAACCTGCGCCATGTTTTAAATATTCTTTACGCTATTCGAGAGCAAAGTTTAATCAAATTTAGAGCCATATTCGAAACAATTTCGTAAATGTCGAGGCTTCCTGTAAAATTCATAGAAAAATCAAAATATTTGTTTCAAACTCGCAGAGCTTCAAGGACAGTCGGACAGACAGGCAATTTGCCGTGAATCGATGACAAGAACCCGCAAACCATGGATTCTAACTACACAGTGTGTTAGAGGAAGTAATTTACCACATCTAGGATCAAGATTTATCCACCTTTTAGTTACGTGGGCCCGGCAATAAGAATTTTTCTGTCGACCTCCCCCCCTCCCAGAAAATTACAATTCTATATACTGCGCAAGCAGTAAGAGAGAAAGTATAAAAAGTAGTATATTCCATTTTCAGTATAAGCCTTTTACTGAACTTGCAAGTGTAATAGACAAGTGTATTTGTTGTAAAAAGTTGTCACAGATATTAAAATATATTCTTCCTGTTTTTGGGAAGGTCTCGCAGCAATACTTGTGTATCTGCGAATACTATCTAGACGACGAAGGAAGATTTACGAGAATGAGGGAATCAGGCTATTGACTAGTTTTAAAGATAAAAAGTATGAAATGGACAACGAAAGGAGGATCACGCGAGATACATGTATCGGCCTCTGTCACCCGATGGAATTGGTTGAAGTGAACCACGGAAACGAAAGAAAGAAACTATTTTCAAGAATTCTCTTTCGGGCTAGAGGCGGCTTCATAAAATATTTAAGGGAGAACAAATTTTTTATAGCTAATATTGTTTGGTTATAACTATTTAGAGAGGCGATTGAAGAGGTACTATATGTGCCTCCAGTTATGACATTTAATGTATTAGCAGTTTGAAAATAAAGCATCTAAACTTTCAAAAAAAAAAATAAATACATTAATCGTTTGTAACATTAAAATAAGTCTACATATCTGAGCTAACGATGAAGGAGATATGGTGCTAAATTTCTTCTTAGATCACTGATTAGTATTGATATATTTTTAAATTCTTTACATTTTCAAGATTGGGTTGTGGGCTGAATGTCTCCAAGCCTTGGAGGCGTCTTTCATTCATACTGTGGTCAGCTTCGACCCAACTGTCTATCTGCTGTCGAAATCCCTCCTCCTCCGTCTATACTCCAACACATTAAATCATTCCCGTCTACAGACAGTGCCGTATCTGCAACACAGACGCATTCATACCACATTTTGTAAATATAGTAATAGAAAAATACAGTTTCTGCATACCATTGTTTTTTTTCTGTACTAGGAGATCAGATGGCAACTTAAACCGCTCCTTACACATCATGTAGAAATGTGCAATAACGGCTTTACAGTACGCGTGAATGGCAGCAAAAAAAGGCAGCCCATGGAGGCGTCCTCCTTCGGAAGACCTTTGCCAGCCAGCGAGATCTTTGCCTCCTTTTACGACTCCTAAATAGCTGCTGCCGTGGCGGCGGCGTTCATCTGGGCGTCTGCTCTGGGGACGGGAAGAGGCCCGCGGCCGCTTCCGCAATTGCCCGCCACAATGGCTCTCGTTGACCGTAAGGAGAGCGGTGTTCACCCGGCCTACGACCAGGCGACGCGACGCGCACGGTAGGTTCACACTGGACCGACGGGGCCTAAGGATAAAGCCAATCAAAGTTGAAGATATACGACGCTTTATGATGATGTTAAAAAATAAACATCTAGAACAATCACTTTGTGATAATGTGAAAGATTGGCCCAGCGCCATGCGTTTCGGCAGGTCGTCTCTTATTGGACTGGCCCTACTGAGGACATTCGAGTCTATTTTTTTTCAATGGGTCCTCTCATTTCAAACCATTTATGAGCCATGAAGCTATACTTCATAACTAGCACTAAATTCATTAAAAATGCGTAGGCTGTGTCGCGAACATGGGCGCACAATTTTTGATAATAACTTTAATGATACGGGGTAACTCGTCAAAATCTGCGTGAAATGTTTTCCACCAGCCGACAGGGACTCGTTGATTGACCGAGCCTGCCCAACGGTAGACGGGAAGGAACCTACATTCTAATTTATTCTTTCTCATGCTTCCCGTTACCCATAATTCTAACTGCGCCTATCTGCTGAATCGTTTTTTAAATACAAAAATAATTCCAATGTTCTCGGTAGGTACAAGAAAATGGCCAGTTTTCTACCAATAGATTGAGACACGTCGAGTGACTCCTCGCTTGCATTAAACAGTAGACCTGACGGACGGACACCCCTAGGTTAACCGATTATATATGTATAGTATATATGTAGGAAAGAAACCACACAGTTTGAAAGTATATAAAAACGTACAAAGGGTCAATTTTACGTATTCGCTCAACATCTCTACTGGTGTGCCGATTTTCATGGCAGCATGATATATAAAAACTAATAATAATTAATATAATAATAATAATAATAATAACACACTGATATACTCCTTTGTCGTTATGAAATGGACCAATACTGACCTCAACCTCCGGAGAACAATTCAACTGCTATGACACAACACCGAAAATATCGTCCCCATTCTAGTATTGAGCGTTTTACCCTTCCAAGGGGAGCGGGGTGTTGTACATCTCTCAAATCTACACAGATTTCAAATTGCATCACTTGGAAGATACTTCCTGAAACATGGTGGGAGAGTTCAGCAAGCAGTGAGCGCAGTTGATAACTATAATCCTATGAACCTATTCAACCAAACACTGAAGCCGAAGACAAGATAACCTCATGGAAAGCGAAGACACGGAAGGCACCCCCATGAGTAAACATCTCTGCGTCGCTTGCATGGCTCCAGCACGGGGATTTCTTTCCGGAGGCAGAAGCCTTCATACGAGTAGTAGCTATCCAGGACCAAGTGGTGCCCAACTTTGAACTACAGAAAACACATTCTGAGAGATTCGACCATTCATCCCAACTCATGTAGAAGATATGAGGCCGCAAGCGAGACTATCCAACACATGACAAGTGGATACAATAAAAGGCCTGAACAAGTGGCGAAGCAGGTCCACCTATTATTGGCAATGAAAACGGGCTTACTCGCCACTTCCGTGCCGTATTATAAATATGTGCCTCAAAACGTAATTGAAAGTAGTGAGCACACTCTCTACTGGGATCGCTCCATTATCACTGAGAGACAAGTCGGCGGCAATAGACCCGATATAACGTACATCGATAGAAAGATTTTTCTTATTGATATACCCAACACCCACAACATCAGTAAAACGTCAAGAGAAGATTTTTAAATATACCGATCTCGCCCATGAAGTCGCAACTCAGTGGAACTTCAGCAAAGTGACAACTGTACCTGTATCAGCCACAGGAGTGATCCCAAAAATGACACTTCGACCACTAGTGTCTTCACTTGGATGCCAGGAATATATACAATAGGCAGAAAGCAGTCATCTTGAATACATGCTGTATTGTTAGAAACCAACTGAATCTTCAATAAAGCAACCGCACACCTGGCCATTAATCCTGTGAGTGTTTGACAGACCGACCAGTAAAAACTGTGAATAATAATAATAATAATAATAATAATAATAATAATAATAATAATAATAATAATAATAGCCGATCCAATCGCCGAGATCGCTAAGGAAGTAGTGCCGTAGCAGTCTCGGACCAGAAGGTCGTTGGTTCGAGTCCCGCCTCGGACATGGTTGTGTTGTGTGTTTCTGTACGTTTGTGATTGTCCATTTCATCATTAATCATCATCACAATTTCATCCATCCCCCAGGGCTAACTACCCTGAGGTGTAAAAATAGAATCAGCTTTAAAATGCTGATCCACCCAATAGAAAATAACGTCCACGTACCCCGATATTCAAAGTCTGAGCCCCGACGTGGCGCCATGATGGCCGATTGGGGAAAAAGAATATAATGACAATAATTAAATCCGTTTTTGCTTTACTTTGGGACCACAATTACTGAGTATGACATTATATGCCAAAACCTGAACCACTTCATAAGGACGTAATTACGGTAAATACGAGCATAACTATTTCTCGAAATGGCGTTCCTGTTGCAAGGCAACACTGTACTATCTAGTGTGCTTTTGTTCTTCTTAATGGCGCCACGAGGGTGCATTGAAGCGCCGAATAGTGTTAATTGAAACATTGCTTGCGTAATTTTATGCGCAGTGTCCGTGCCAGGTATATTCATCAAAGTTCTTTCTTTACTTCGTTCCACCTATTGCTTGCTGTTTTCGTTCTCCATAAATATCTTGGGTTTTACAGTCATTAGTTATAAACTTCCCTGTCGCGTAACCCCCTGAATATCCTTTTTCTAATTATGCGCTTTCTGTCTCGAAGTTCTGTTCGACCATCTCGAGTTGGCATTCTTCAGACTGCATGTGCTTAAACCACTGACGCCTTATTGTCTTTCACACAACTGAATATTTTTATGATCTTGAATATTTCTCATCAAAGTTTACATTACGAAAAATGTTGGTTATCTTTCCCAGCATAATCCTAATGTCGGCAGATCGTAATTCTAATCCTGATGTTTCTGTAATGTCCACCGTAATCTTAATATCAGTAGATGCTAGAGTCAAAACTCAGTTATTATTGATTCATTCCTTTATTAAGTTCAGAAATTGATTAATTCATACTGTAATAAGCAGTTTTAATATCATATTTTATTACTGTATTTCATGAAATCATATCCCATTCCCGAGAAAGAAATATATGACGATCTGAGGCGAGTATTAATCAAACCCTTGTGGCGTGTGGCGTGTAAATCAAACGGGGACGAAACATACTATCCAATTCGGAACCCTGCTGCAGAGACGAAATGTATGGGAGAGCGGGACAATTCGAAAGATAAGATACACATTTCCAGGGATTCCCCTCCAAATATACGCCATAAACCATCATTTTTTTTGGCAAGACCTTCCCCTCCACCCGGCGGTGACACCTGTGCCTGATAGAGTGATTTCCGTTGTGGGTGCAAGTTTACAACGGGGAGCCACGGGGCGCCATTAGGCCTGCCGAAGGACTCGCAGGGGCACTGGGCAGCGCCTCACGGTCGCTGGCGGCGCGGCGGTCATTAGGCCGCGGGCCCCGCGCATGCCCGGACGTCAATAAATTTCAGCGGTGTGTGGACGGAAACGGCTTTGTGGACGCGACCCACGATCACCAAATCCCTGCTTTTCGGTGTTTGGAGCCTGTGCGTGCATCCTTTGCCCCCTCTCCATTTCCACAAAAATGTGGGCGAAACACAAGCATTATTTCGTAATGCCATCGAAACCGTTTCAATTATCAACCGATTCAATGGATACATGAATGGAAGACCTAGATCATTGGATAATTTTTATATATGAATTATTTGTGCTGTATTTTGGGTGTATTTTAAACCTAGTGTCAACAGGGATAAAACTATTAATGTTTATTAACTTTTTCTAAGCCGGGGACGACGATCTCGAAGACACTTGATTGTCATTAAGACACAGCTTGAATTAACCTGCTATGATATTGCTAGTCTGGTAAGTGAGATAAGATGATCAAAAGAATATGGAGGGTAAAAATATAGATATAATGTTATTGGTGATGTTGGTGTGTTTAATACGAATGTTGTTTCTCAATGTTATCAGAAGTTAGGAAATATATTTGGTGACTTTAATCATCCCACAGTAGCGCATGGTGATTTTTACATGATTATCATATGAAGATAGTACCTTATCAATTCCAAGAAAAAAGTATTTAATACCTAGACGGGTCTGTGGGTTGTTCATACATTTCGAAATGATCCTCTGTATTCAGTTATTTTAACGAATTTTTATAATATAAATCATATAAATCAAGTAATTGACGTTTAAGATGCACATAAATGATACTTCTATCAGCGTTGAAACAATTTTTATGTACTTTCATGCTGCAGTAAATAAATAATTTTAAATCGTAATTATTGATCTTCAAAAGAATCTGTATTATACGAATGCCTTTTCAAGTATAGTGTATTCGGAAATTATACATGTCGATAATTTTGTCTTCGCGCTTGTATTCATTTTTTGAATACAACATTTTTGTTATTTTTTATAATTATTCGCACTTTTCAGAACTTGAAAGTGTTCAACCTTCAAAAACAACATGGCAATCAACATATTGATAAAGAAGACCCCACTTTTAATAATTGAATAATTTTTAGTTTTCAATCTAATATTTGGTTGTAATGACTAATGATCAAATGGAATTGATAATCTTATAACGAGGATACTTTCGGTGTCAAGACTGAAGAAGAAGAAAAAAAGAAAGAAGCATTCCGGGTTCTTTAATCGCGATGCGTGAGTTTCATTATAATGAGTATTCAGTTGAACAGGTTTGTCGAAGAAGAAGAAGAAGAATTAACAATATATCCCGTTGGTACGCTTTGATGGAAAACTGCTTTAGTTTTACAGTAAACCCTCATTAGTTCGAATACACTGAAAACGAATTTGACCACAATACTAACAACGGTCCCGGCAAGGGATGACGGTAATACAAACATTTATAGTACTCGGATAATACGTGTAATCCGAACTCCATTTGTGTAATCCGAACTCCGGTTATATTTCGGTCCCTTGAAATTCGTGTTAATGAAGGTTTACTGTATTTCACTTGAGAGATGAGACGATCTCTTGGTCATATTCTAGTTCAATTTTCAATCGAGATCACAATTTTATGATTCTTTCTGCATTGAAGCAATAAAATATTCTACAAGAAATTTAATTTTTGTAGGTCCTGCGCGAAATAGATTCTTGCATTTTTGCATGATTCTTGCTATTTTATCACTAATTGTGTTATTCTATGTACAGAAGAATTGTTTCTTAATTTAAAGTCATTAACCATTTTTTCTAGAATTGAACAATTGGCTTTTGTCATTGGAGAAATCGGCTGAATAACATTTTAAAACTATTTATTTTCAGGACTTCTATTAAATTTAGAACCACAAACATAGAAATACAAATATAGGAAGATCCAAATTAAATTTAAAAAAATGAAGATATCGAAAGAATACTAGAGTTGACGCCAGATCAGGGAAGTCAAGTACCATTGAAGGAAGAGGAACGTATGTTCTTCAAAGCGTTCATTTACAAAGGAGAAGATTTAAGGTCTACGTGTGTTATTGTCTCACAAAATGTGAAATTCATTGCATCATTTCATCACATACGCATGAAATTAAACTTTAATGATTAGAGGTTTTCTCCATTTGCTTCTTAGTTGAATGGAATTTTATTAATATGTGTCTTAACGACAGGACAGTAATCGCATTTGGCGTTAGGTTTTAAGTCAATATATACAGAATATATTTTTAAAATATAAAAGGCGTATATAAAACACCCGAGAGAAGCGGATAATTTGGTGGAAATGATCAATCACAGATACTGTGGAAGGCGTATTCTAGTCTAACTATATAAGTTCTCTACTCGAAAAGGGTATTTCGTATTCTTTGGTGCGAGTGTCATTTTTCATCTGTACTCTAAGTCAACGATACCTTCACAATTTCCAGAGTAGTTGGTCAAGTTTGAGACACTTTTGATTGATTCAAAAGATCATTTATTACATCCCTGAAAACGTGCAGCGAGTGGTTGTTAAAAAAAATACATTCATGAATAGAGAGATGAGCAGAAGAAGTACCTTTCGAAAATGCAAAGTGATCCGGGACATCTGGACGTGTGTTTTACCCGTAATCGCATGAACGTGTCTGGCACGTTTTCTTTGTGTGTGGGGGGCATTAAAGACCAAAGTAAATAATTTAAATGCTAGAAGCCCCGGGAATTTTAGTATAAGACACAATGTTTACAATTTATTTATTGAAGTTCACCTGGTGCTTGCGGTATACGTATCTATGGAGTTGAAGTTATGTCACAGCCATTCATGAATTCAATAATAGATGGCAACAAAGAAAACTATTCCACACGAAAAAACTAGCCACACATAGATTGTCATAAGTGATACTGAAGTATCTGAACATATTTCACATACTACCAATTTGAATGGACTCTATGGTGTCCACGGGCTGCAATACATCTGGTTGGTAACTCGTCAAGGTGAGGAAGATCCAGCATATCATGATGTGTGTGACATGATAACATTATTTTACAGTTTCTATGCCGGGTCGTATTGTACCGTACCGTTTCGTACCGTACCGTTTGTATGAGTTAAGTACGTGTTGGAAGGAAGCTTAAGTTACGCTCATATTGGATCACACGTCTGCCTTGAAGCATTCTGAGGGATAGATTTAATTTAGTTACGTTAGTTGTTTACGTTAATAGTGAAATATGAAAATAGAATGCAACTACTGGATACTTGGCTTGGTATGGTACTTTAAAATACTGGGGGAGAACGTATTCCTTGAGGCGGCAGCCGGGCGGGCGGTCGCCTCCAGCGGCAAAGCGTGCTGCAGCAGCAGGGGCCGTGGCGCGCCGCGGCGCAGCGGCCGCAGGCGCGAATTGCGGCGTCGGGCGCTGACCGGGCGCGTCTCGGGCGCGGGGAGCGCATGGCGAGGCGGGGCGAAGCGGGACGGGGCGGGCGGCGCACCTGCTCGCGCTGACCTCGCGTTGTTTGTCGGGGCGGCCGCCAGAAGGCGCGCAGCGGGAGGGGCGGCCGGTCCGCTCCGTCCGCATCCGCGCAGGCCGCCAGTCGCGCGCGAGCGCCGGGACCGAGGAACGGGTGCGCACGCAGAGCAGGCCAGCCCGGCAGCGGAGCCGAGTGCAGCGCAGCGCAGCCCGGCGGGCGCAGCGCTGGCGGCGCGCGAGGAGACGTCTGCGCGGGGGGCGCTGCGCGTGGCGCTGGCGCTGCCCTACGGCGACGGCAGCGACTGCCCTCGACGCCCGGCAGCCGCTCTCCCGGACGCGCCCGCGCTGCGCCCGCGCCGCCGCAGCCGCCGCCGCACGCGGAGCCGCGTCGCGCGCGCGTGTCGCTGGTGGTGGCGCCGTCGGCCGGGGACTACTGCTGCCAGCGGCCGCCACCGCGTGGTGCTGGTGCCCGCGGGCGACGCGGCGCTCAGAGGCTGTCGGCGGTGAGCGACGGGGCGCGGCGCGGCGGGGCGGTGGCGGGGCGGAGGAGGAGGGCGAGGGCGGCGGGCGGGCCGAGGGCGGCGTCGGCGGCGCGCGGTGCAGCGGCTGTCCGTGGGGCGAGACCGCTGGGGGTCAGCCTCCCCGGCCTTGCGGCAGTCGCCCGCGCGGCCGGTACCCATGGGCGGCTGCACTCGTGCGCCTCGAGGGACTCGCTGACGGGGCGAGCGCGCGTGGCGCAGCCGCGCAGCTGGCGCACTCGGACGCGGACGCGGCCAGCCGCGTGTCGGTGCGCTCGCTGGCCGTCGGCATGGGCTCCACGACGGCGGCCTCAGTGCCGGTGCCCATCGCTCCCCGGCGCCGCTGTCACCGGCCGTCGTGTGTGCGCTGGCTGGCGCGCCGCGGCGGCGGAAGCGCGTGGGAGCCCGCATGCGCGAGCGGACAGCGCCTCTTTGCGCAACGGGGGGCGAGGGGAGGGGGGGGGGGGTCTGCGCGTGGGGCCGGTGGGCGGGCCGCAATTGGATAATCTGCGCCCAAGTGCGGCTCGCGCCGTCTTGAAGGCGGCGCGGGCGGAGCACGCGGAGAGGGCGGGCGGCGTGGTGTCTCGGAGCCGGCGACTGGCGAGCGGCCAGGCGGCCGCGGGCGTCGGGCCTGCCGGCAGGTGGTTCGCGCGCCGATGCCCGGGCCGCGGCGCGCTCGCGCCGGCGCCGCTCCTCGCGCGCGTCGCCGCCGATCGCAAGCATCGGCTGTTCGGCGCTGTGATGGGCGGTGGTCCTGGCGCCCGCGCCGCCCCCGCCGGCGCCCGCGCGCATGCGTCAGCCTTCGCCGCCTGCCGCCGGAAGGCCGAATTGGGGCGAACGGCGCGCCAATTTGGTTCCGTTTCGCCGGAGGCGCGGCGGAAGCGGCTTCGGGCCGGTGGTCGTGCCGGGTCCTCCGCCCGCCTGCCGGGACCGCCCCTCGCCTCCGCCCTCGCCCAAGGACGCGTCTCGGCCGACGCCGCCACTTGGCCGCATGCCTATGACTCACGCCATCTCTTACTCGGGTTCTTGCGCGCGATGTGGAGTAATCCGAGAAAAGACGTCTTGTGGTAGCTGTAGTGTCCCGGGCTACGGCTGGGAGGGGATAACATAACTAGCGAAGTAAGCTGAAGGTTGTGCAGATGGGGATGCGTCAGGTGCGAGTTAATGGGACTTGGCCAATAAAGGTTATCTTTCCTGTGGGTGGTCTCTGCTTACATTGCGTCTCGAAAAACTCCACTGGCACAGGAGTAAGTTCTCGCGAGGATCTTCATGACTCGGCACATAAACAAATTTATTAATTTAATGACTTGTCATTGGTTTCAGACACTAGGCAATAAAATTTGTAAAAGCTAATTCTGTTTGGTATATAATGCAAAGCAATTTGCCTTTGAATAAAATTTCAGAATGAATGTTCCTTTACGCATTATTATGGTAATGGTGCCATCTCATATCAAATTCTGGTTCCGTTCTAGCTTTTCGTTTTATTTTTCACCATGACGTTATTGAAAGGACATGACATTTATTGTGAGACCCACCTATCAGATATTTACTACTCATCACTAATTTTTTTTTGTAGGGTACACTCACATTTATTGAAGACCTTGGTGGGGAAAATATTTTTCTCCAAACGTTCAGAATTATGTTGGTCACTCTCTAATCACCAAGCATTCAATGTGTATACTTAAACTAGGTTGTAAAGAAAGTCTGCAGACAATATTAAACATGTAATTTCTTGGATTTTTATGTGAATAGATCCAAACGTTTCGAACTGATGTAGTTCACGGAAACCTCGGAATTTACGGAGCATTTTGAATTATTATTTTTGCGGTTGAAAACTTGTTCGAGATTCTTCGAAGTATAAGAGCCTTGCATAGTTTTACATCAATTTGCTTCTATATCTCAAAATTAAATGCACTTAGTGCATAATTATTGGTCAGTACAAAATAGACGAGTGCAGAGAAGACTAAGTAAATTAAAAAATACAACGTTGGAGCGCTTTTCCACACATGCAAACTGAGCAGGACTCAGGAGCGTTTAGAAAAGGAGGGACGGGGGCAACTGGACCTACTTGCCCCAGACCCCGAATCCATTGGGTCCCTAACTTTTTTATTAAAGATATAAAAATGTATTTACTTGTACTTGCAGTAATTGCAATTAAGTTATTTCTCTCGCACGGAAAGATGAATTCTATTTATATAAATGCGTGTGTGTGTGGGGGGGGGGTACTTTTGTTTGAAACCGGGGCCCTCGTGGATCTTCTTCCCCAGCATTTTTTTCTGTTTTGGACGCCACTGGAGTTCTAATAGGATTATTGTATTAATATTACAATTTTTCCATTGTACCTTTTTTTTACAGCTTACAGTTTTTTAAACTGAAATAAATTCGTTAGCTTTTGCATGCAAAATTGTTATTCGGGAGTGGCACGTTTACATGTTGCTAGTACACTTAGTGGGTGAAAGAATCCTTAATTTGTCATTGAGGTAACAATTTTCGGTTCGTTCTTTTCAAGTATGTTTGGATTTTGTCATAATATATGTAGATTGTATTTTTGTATTTAGGCTCTAATTATGATTAAGCAGCTACCCTTGATTTCCTTACCGCGATTTACTTCCCTGTATGATTATTTGATCTATCATTTCCTCCGGATACTGCCTCCAATGCTGCAAGTATGCCGTAGTATTAATGGAACAGCGTGGTCGACCTCCGCCCAAACACGTTCCCCCTCACCCTAGCTTCTCCCAGCCCACCCGTGCCCTATCGTCTGGAATGTGCCCTTCGTCGGAACACGGAGCTCCGGGAAATGGACCATGATGGCGTTTAGAGGTCGCGACGTAATCGTGAATGGTCACATTTATCGGTCGCCTTGACACCGTCTTTGCTCTCAGGTGAATGCGAAGAAATGGCCATCTCACAAAGAGGGGGTTTAAAATTAACATTTTTAAAGAAGATTTGTGGAAGTTATATCTACGCAACGTGTTATCTAAAACATGAATCTTTGTTACGTTCTCAGTTCAAAGCGTTTACTTTGGGAATATTATTCACTCTATCACTTGCACTTGTTAATTGGCATCAACATTTGATTTTCTTCGAGCGAAGGAATAAGCATAATTAAGATTTCTCAAAAAGGAAACGGTTCCCTACCTAAAGGAACGTTTCCACTGAGCGAGCGGATCAGCGAAAGCTCGTTCGGCGGCGGACGCTCAGGTAGAAGCTGCTGCTGTCAGTTTGCACTAGAAGGAAATATTCCGAAGAGTTCCTCTCCGATTATGTGAATTTTGGATATGTTGTTAAGAATGAACAAATAAACCTCACGTGTTTTTTCAGGGAATAAACTTATTAAATGGATAAAACTCACCCCTATAAAGAGGTGGACGTAGAGTTGTGAAATTTCAGTTTCGAATAGAAAAATAAACTGTTTTCAAGGAAAAGTAAATGCGAAATCCAAGTGGCTTAGTGTCAAATCCACTTACAACTTCTCTTCACTTATCGTCAAATCCACTTAAAACTTCTCTTCAAATTAACTGAGTGTATTTTTCTAGTTGTTATTACGATGAAGTACACCCAAGTATACAATCAGATTTCAAAAATACTACTCAAGATAACCAAATACACAGCAGAAATCTTTTTAAAAAATCTTCTCTTTAAAATGATATCGCTGTGTTTTTATGAACTTATTTTTTTCTAAGAAGTTGCTTTTCGGAAGAAGGACTCCTTTGAAAATGACAGATTACGAGTGATTTTCTCCAAGAAAAAATATTTTAAGCGATTAATATTCCGCAAGAAAGGCTTGTATTAAGCATGACAAATTGCGGGAACTCTGTATGAAGAATAGAGTATTTTACGGGCAAACCGTCCCAGAATTGCTCAGGTGATATTGAAGAATCTGCGATCGCCTCCGCGCCAAAGTAGAACATGCGTGATATACTTTGATTATTGAGACATGATAATTTTTTACGCGTTTCCATGTAAGTCAGTAAAGTCTTTTTTTCGAACTTTATTTTCTCACTCTTTAAAAACAATTCTTCACAAATGAAGCATCTTCTAGCATTTCTTAGAAGTTGACGTTTTTACCCTTCTTTGAATATTTTTTCATCCTATCAACACTTCGTTGCAAAATAATTCTTCCTTTCAGTTGCGTGACAATTAATAGTAGTTGGCCAAAAATAATGTTTCTAAATTTTCAAAAAATCATGATAAACATGAAAATTTTTTAATAATTTAAACGTAAAAAACCGAAAAATGTCTCATTACATTTGTAATAAGTGAGATTCATGGTACGCGAGTCCATGACGTCAATCAAAAGAGAGCGTCTGCCATGAAACTCCGTGTGCTGGTTATGAGGGTGGCGCGAACGAAGACGTCAGGCCATGCGAGCGCGTGGCAGTGCCATGCAGTATGCACCGGTGTGCGCGTCGGCGCGTGCTAACCACCGCCCAAGAGCGCCCGGGGCGGCCGCGAGCGGGCGCGCGCGCCCGTCGCCAGTGGCCGAGGCGACGCGACGCGACGCGGGGCGAGGCGCCATGCCGGTGGGCGAGGCGCTGCAGCTGGAGCTGCTGCCGCTGCGGGAGCTGCTGGGCGGCGCGCCCCCCGACGAGGGCTTCGAGCGCTTCTCGCTGGGGTGAGTCTCTCCCCTCACCTCCTCACGCAACGCGCGCCGAGGCTCGGGGACGTGGGTCTCTGGTCCAAAGGCCCTGGAGACTGGAGGGTGGCCGCGGGTTCCCGTCACTTCCTACATAGTTAGGCCGGATTCAGCCGCTGTTTGGAGGAGAATTCTAGCCCCCGGTTGCTCTGGTCGGTAGTTTTCCGTGGTTTCTCCTATCAATACCAAGCGAATGTCGGAGCAGTACCCTATCAAACGGACCACGGATCGGACGCGATAGTCCCCATCTATGCTCATTTCACTCTCCTTATGCACACACACACATTCTTAGTCTTGCATCCCCCACATTACCGCACACGTCGAGAGGCCAGGGCTCGTCCCGGCTGGTGTGGTGTTCCTCTTGTGGAGACACCTGGACTGGGAAATACCCGCAAGCTAACAAAGGTTGGCGCCAGATCTCACGACTATAACATATCTCGACTGTAACATGTACTACGCTCACGGGACTACTGAACAAAGTAGTTAACGTACCTGAAAACAAAAAAAAAATAGTCTTAGAAACATGGAAAGGCTCTCGACAATCGTGCACGCTAAAGTGACGCCACTATTATCCATATTATTATGTTATGAGGTTCGTGTCATTGAGGGAAATGATAATATTCGCTTCTCTACACCTGGCGCTAACGTATCTGCAGAAAGCTCGAGAATTTTAAATGAGGGATAGGATTGCTTTCATCTCAGTGTTCCATAGAACAGCATGATCCGCGATGTAGTGGCCTGATCTCTCGCCTTACAGCTCCATGTTACGAAGTTGAATTTCCTATCATTCCGTCTGGATTTTTTGGTGGATAAAGCGGGATAGCGTAGTAATGCTTTTCTCCTCGTTCGGTCGTTTCTTCAGCATTTCACTCAAAGCAAATTATTCAAATTATGTCATCATAATCACCTATCGATCAAATCATTCCAGGTGAGGTCACAAGCCTTAGACTTCATTTTAAATATAAAGTAAACACTCGTGAACATGAATGTCAAGGAACTGACAAATCGACTAACAATCTTCACACTAATCATTTATAGTATATAGGGGCATACGTACTACTATATAATATCATTTATGTCGTCATAGAAACACTACAGTATATAACATTCTCCTACATCGACAGTATTACCAGGCACAGAACAACACAAAAAATAACTTGAGAATGAAATTACTGTATGTTGTAACGTGAAAAAATATACTAATAGATCACTTTATGGTGAAAAATTCCTGTGCTGTCGCTTTAGTACAAAGCTCACACGTGTTTCGAACAGGGCAGTTCTTTGTTGGGACAGGGGTGTAGCGGCCTAGTGGACATATAATTCCTATGAGTGAGATGTTTGGAAATAGTTTGTGAATAAAATTTGTATCTTCTCGTTTTCTTTCTTGTTTCAACCTTGCAACAGCTCACAGAGAAACAAAAAGAAAACCAAAAGGGGAAACTTTGAAAGTTCATATAATGACGTAAATATAATGATGCAACTGACTGAAATGTAATTCGTAATTCGTGCTAAGCGAAATTCGTGTTAACTGATAAAACTCCTTATAAAATCATGTACGTTGCTGTAGGGATTTTGTCCGTATTAACAGTGTTCTCCTTGAGGAAGTTTGTGTTGACGAGAGTTTACTGAATATCATACGAGTACTTCAGGCTGAGTCACGCAAATTGTTTGAATATATTTGACCTGCCCATCCGCGCCATCCGGTGAACTAATTCAATTAAAAGCTATGCGTCTCGGGGTTGTAAGGCTAGAGAAGCATCTGTTTCTTGAGACAGAGGTCTAAACCTCGTATCTTAAGTATTCATGAAGTTGCGCGATCCAGACGGTTTTTGAATGGTGGTGGGTCATCAAAACCTTACCATGTGACAAGTTATATTAAAATTGAATGGATAATTGGATCTCGAGACTCGTATATTGATATTGAAGTGGCCCCTTGCATCAGGGGTCTAAGATCACACTAGGGTCACTCGGGCTGGGCCATCAGGAGGATTTGAATGGTCCTTTTCGTAGATTCGCGCCCTCTCGTGTAACTGGAACGATTGTAACACCTTGTACTGGTGACACTGGCTCGAGGATTTTGAATGGAGAAGTTAGGTAACTTAAAATGTAATATAAAATGCTTGATCAAATACGATTCCCCATTCTTACGATTATGATTCATAGTGCATTCGCACGCAATATGTTTATCATAGGGTGATGGATACGACCAATAATGGACGATTTGTTTGACTTCCAGTCCTAGAGGAGTTCAAAACATGATTTAAGACCATAACAACGAACGTTTTGGGGTTCGATGAGTACTAAGTTCCGAACGTTAATTATTACAAATAAAGTTCGCACCCCTAACGTTGCTGATTAGCGATTTTCTTTTAGTTCTTCCAATGTCGCAACGAACACGGACACATGTCTGATGAATTAAGAGTAAACCATATCTATTTTTTTCTTCCTGGGTCTTTTTCCATTTTCAGGGGATGTCGATTTCGACTATCCGCGCCGGGTATCCACTATGTCACTTATCGCTCCGGACACAATAAACCTTTTACATTAGACACACTTGCGGGCTTCCTCAGTCTGCGGTCGGCAGACTCACGAGGCCTTCCGCGACAACATATATTCATGAAAGGCAAGGGCCAAACAACCATGCCCACGGCGGGACTCGAACTCGCGATCCATGACCCTTCAGACCGAGGCGCTGAGTCTCGGTACACGCTATAGTCACTTCGACTATCGAGCTCGGCAGTACATCGTTTCTATGAATGCAAATTATACATTAAATCAATAAATGCGACTGCAAAAGAAACTAGTGAAAGGCGATTATGCCCAACTACAGATTACAGTAATTGATCGATTTTTTTATTTAACATACCGTATAAAGAATAAAATGAAATATTACCACATTCTCCTCTGATTTTTGTTCCAAAGGAATTATTTTAAATATGGAGGAATATATCTGTTCAGTAGTTTGTCTCAGGATGAATTTTGTTTAGGTATTTAAAATCCAAAGATCCATTTAACGATCGTTTGTATCTGATAGATTCTTATCCTCTGCCGAATTGAAGAGGCTCAGTGTTTCCAATTGATTAATTCCTTCGCAATATGTCTCTTCTGTTCTTTACTTTTTTGAATGTTTCTAGGAAAAAAGAGCTAGGAATTCAGGCACTTCGATTTAAAAACACGTCTAGTTAGGTTTTGCTTGGTCATGTGTCTACTTGCGATTTTGTTCTGAGTGCTCGTGTGATGAACCTCATCCATATTCATTGCACGTTATGGTAATGCATTCAGGAAGAGATGGTGGTATTTATTTATAAGACATTCGCTGTCTGCAGATCACTAATCGTGCGTATTTGATATAACAGACTATTTGAAATACGTTTCTGATCAAACATCACTAATAATTTCCAGAACAAGTGGGTGATGCTTCGTAAGGAAAAATCTCTTGGGTCGTTGTTTCTCCAAATTTTCCAAAGACTTCTTAATGTCACTCTTTCAAACTATTCGAAAATAATAATTGATTATTTTCTCTGTTACAAAAATCTAAAAGCAGAAATTTGAGATACTTTATTCAGAAGTTTTAAATTAGTGTAGAATTATTTGGTCCAAAAATTATACTTTTGAATTAATAGTCTGAAATTTTTTTCGTTTAAAAAAATGGAAAACTGAGAATTAATACCTATGATTTCGAATCCTTGGTTAACTCTTTAGGAATTTGTCTTCCGTACTTTGGCACTCTTCCATGCAATTCTAGCGGTATTTAAGCTCTTGGCAGTGAGCAGGACGTTTGGCCATAAGGAAGGGACTTTCGAACGTGAAAACATTCTGCTCGGTGAAAAGTTCTAAATTGATTAACTTAAAATCCTTTACTGTTTAGCCCAAATACAAAACCTAACTGTAAGTCATCTAATTAAGCAGAAAGTATACTGGAAAATAAAAGTTGAGAGGGACGTACAGGAACGAAGAGGAACGCATCCCAACTACCAGGAAGTCAATGCGAGTGTCATGTAACACACAGTGTCATTTCTCTGTCTGATGTTTGTTTTGAGCCCTTAGAGAACAGTTTAAGCGCAAATTTAATCGAATCAATTTGCATTACTAGGCGTTTGAAGTAGTGATGCTAAATTATGCGAAGATATGTTGCAATACAAAGGAGTAAAGCACAGATCCTTTTCACTATAAATTATCATCTTGTAAACAATTGCAATGGTGTAGCTTCCTGCCGAGTCTTCAATAAACATATTTGTTTACGAGACACGAGATGGAGGCACGCAGATAACGTTGCTCAGTGAAGATCTCCCAGAGAAACGTCCTAGAGCCCGACTCTGGTAGGGACAATATTGCCTCTGTAACTATCATTCAGGTCAGGTTTTCTACATCATTTGGATATCCTCCCATTTATCCATCTCAAAATAAGGGCCCTAATGCATTGATTAGAATTCGTTCCCGATGATGTAAAGGAAAGGGCTTTTATGTGAAAGCCCTCAAGGATATCGCTCTACGAGGTAGCGCTATTTCCCGGCACCCTGGGCAGGGCGATGGCGTGCCATTGCGCGATCGGGGGCAGGGGGGATGAATTCATAAGCAAAGAACGTGTTTAGAACCACTGAAAGCTCACTATTAGTTTCTAAACAAACTTTTATATTAGTTAATAATTACATTAGTGTTCTATCTTACACGTGGTTAACAAATACCATGTGTAATTTAAATGAAGTTCCAAGAACAAGGTAGTCGTGAATATAAATTGTATTGCTAGTCTTCGATGAAAACGCAGTGATGCTTTTTGCGCCTTGATGTGGTTGTGATGTTTATCGGCACACTGATAAGTACTTATTTTTTAGTCCGGTGTAATAATTAAGGGTTTATATTATCTCATCGCTTTAAAAAAACACTTTGACATATTTTTTAACTGAATACCTATAAAATTATAGTTTTTAAAATGAGGTGCAGGCAGTACCATTTTCTATATCGGGTATAATAATGAGCCATTTTACCTACTGCAGAAAGATATATTATTTTCGAACTAATAATGAGCCATTTAATCGCCAAACACGTAAGTAAACAACATACAAAGACAATATAATAATATAAAATATTTTATTATCATCCTACATTTTCATTACAAAGTTTATTATTTATTTGCATAATTATTTCCATTTCATATGAAGGGTTTAAGGCAGTCACAAGATAAGCTACGTAGCCAAAGTAAAGCTTATTGTAAAAGTTACCATCTCTGTTTTGATCGAAGTGTGTCTGATCTTGTTACTTCCCCAAGCTTATCACAACGCTTGTGAAGAAGATATAATACAGCCACATCTAAGAAGGGACCGCTTTGAGAGCTACTGCTGGAAACGAAGCTGCAAATTATGTCCATACGCTTCGTCAGTATTCGTCAATATGTTTGTTTGCATGTGGCTAACTAGTAAAAGGTTTCGACACTACCTCTTGCAAAACCATCGCCCGACATGAAGTTCATTTGCTTCGTGATCAGTCAAACTGGTCCCTTCCTAGAGTGACTTCTCTACATATTATCATTGACGAATAGCGGAAGGTTTGCTGAGCCTGATGTGGCTTACTACCCCAAGCCCTTCCTAAGGTCGTTATGTATTTACATACTTTGGATAGGTGAGGCCCCTCAAAGCGTTAACCCTGCCGTGCGCGCGCGCGCATTGGCGTGCGCAGGCCGACGGACGACGAGCTGTCGTCGTCGTCGTCGTCCTCGGCGTCGTGGGGCGGGGCGTGCGGGGCGGCGGCGGGCGACGGCGCCTCGTGGCGGCGGCCGCCGCGGCGCCAGCACTGGGCCAACAAGGCGCAGTTCGTGCTGGCGTGCATCGGCTACAGCGTGGGCCTGGGCAACGTGTGGCGCTTCCCGTACCTGTGCTACAAGTCGGGCGGCGGCGTCTTCCTCGTGCCCTACCTGCTCATCCTGGTGGTGTGCGGCGTGCCGCTGCTCTACATGGAGCTGGCCGTGGGGCAGTTTACGCGCCGCGGGCCCATCGGCGCCCTGGGACAGCTCTGCCCCATCTTCAAAGGTACCGACCCTCTTTCTTTTCTCCTGCATGACTTCTGCTCCTCTGCTTAGGAGCTTTAACGTATTCTGTAGTGAGTACCGGCGGCGATGGTCGGTGTCAACACTATTGTCTTCGAACCGTCGTTGACTGGGAGGTCAGAGTCTAGATGTACACGTAAGCTTCCGCGTCTCGAATCCATAAAGTCTCGGCTATCCGGGGCACTGGTCACTGCCCTGAGGAAGCCTGCGGCGTCTCGCGGATAGCCGAGAATTATGGTCAGAGTCTAGGTTTTGAGTCCCGACGGAAGCGGATTTTCGACATTGGTACATTGAATTGATTGCGCCTAGTGTGTCCCATAAAGAGCAAAATCCTCCTGCAAGAGGAGAAGCTCTTGGAAAACGCACGTGGTGTGTAGGTATATAGTTATGTCAAATGCAGCTACTATATGCAGAAGAATGGTAGCGGCCGGCTGCTCTGATCGGTAGTTTTCTGTAGTTTCTCCAATCAATACCAGGCGAATGTCGGAGCAGAACCGTAACAACCGGATCAGGGACCACGCGCACTCTTTCCTTCATCATCCATGACTTCTCCTATCTCTTTATGCATACTTACACTTGATCTTGCAGTAGACTACCTCACATGACGGAACACCAGACGTGGGCTTCAAGCGTCCCCTGTGTGGGATGGTTCCCCGCTGGGGAATGATATTTGGAGGGAGAAAATGCGCACATCGAATGTTCGCCCGTACAGGATCTAATGTTCCAGAGGGCTTGGCACAACGCCACCTTCCGGGATATAAAGTGCGCTACACCAGGGGTGTCCAACTTGCAAGGCCTCAAGGACCGCACTCAAACCTTTAGTATAGTTTCGGGCCATATTTTCGTGACTCGGACCATCCACACCTGACATCCCCGTATTGCTTAGCTCGGTACTTTGCTCGGCTGCTCTAAACAGGGGGTCGGGGAGGGGGGAATGGAACCATTCGTGATATCGGGTCGGACTATGCAGAACGCGGGAAAAAACATATTGGAATGATTTTGAATTTCTGAATTTACTAGAAAAAAATTAAATCTAAACGTATCCTAATTTTTCATAAAAAAGGGGTGTTGACCACGACAGGCCACGTGTGCTAGGTGCACAATGCTTTCGTCCGACATGCGTGCAAGGGACTTTCACTTTTGACTGATAAACTTTCGCGGGCCACAATAAATGGCAGCCAGTTGGGCAACCCTGCTCTACACGTATGAAAGTAATGATAATAAAGGTTGACACGCCCAGTATCAATAAATACTCTCGCAGAACATCGTGAGTGCTAACTTTTAACATACCAGCAAAATGTGAAATCTACCGTATAGTTTCGAAACTAAGTGAAAGTATTCTTGACAATTCCAGTACTGAATTGAGTTCGAGTGACAACTGAAACATGCAATGAAAGATACATCAGCGTGTCTTACTTATCCTCCAAATGAACACAAATATTCACCTCAATTGGCTAACACGCTTCAGATTAGATCCTCCAGCATTTCAAACATCTTTACTGAAAACGAACAGACATTGAACGTCATCCGTTGTGTGATTTCTTCATGTTTCAATGGACACGCTGCTGAGTGTCCTTCACGCTATCAAGGAGCTTTCGACATAACGGCTTCAGTTTCGGAACAAAATGAAAGCCGGGTTGGCAAAGCGTTAACATTTCAAATCCCTGCCATCCACCGGACATTACTCGCATCTGCTTTGGAACACAATGACTTTTAGGTGTGCTTTCTAACAATCCACAAGCGCCTTTAGTTGGGGGCGTTCAATATAGTTTGGCAAAGGTTTTTAGTACCAGGCAACTCATACCGCCACATGGTAAGATGGTTCCATAGCTTTTAAATCATCTTCGCACGTTTGTGTATTCACTTCTGATTGTCTAAGGGGAACGAATGTTGCTTTTGGAACGATAAATTTTGCTTTGACTTCTTCGTGAAGTATATATTTTGAACTCCATGTGGTATCGTGATCGTGAATGATTAGGGGTATATAAGTGATTTTGGTTCATTGTGGTTCTAAGAACATTGGGCCTAGATACCTCCTCTCGCCTTACACACGTACATTTACAATCACTACACTTCCACACACGTCAGGAGCTAAGAGTTAGCCCCGGATCAGCTGATGTAAGTGCTGGTGAACTTATCTGGAGGAGAAAAAACTCCACCAGCTGAATTGAAGGTCAGTGTCGAATATTACTTTGTAGCGGGATGAGAACACTGCCTCCTTTGCGATAAAACATGCATTATACTTACGAGAGTGATGGCATTAGCACCTGGAAGTACCACTCACTACACTATGGGACCACTGGTCAAAGCAGTTGACGTCCTCGGAAACACTGAATAATCAACCAACCACACCAAATCCACAGACAAGCGTTGGGAGCGGGCGTCTCACCTCATTCCTTGTGTTGCAGGAGCGGGGCTGGCGAGCGTCGTCATCTCTTTCCTCATGTCCACCTACTACAACGTCATCATCGCGTATGCGCTCTACTACTTCTTCTCGGCGTTCAAGTCGGACGTGCCGTGGGCGTCGTGCGGGCACTCGTGGAACACGCCGCAGTGCTGGCGGCCGGGCGACGGCGTGGGCGCCGGCGACGCGGGCGGCGCGGGCGGCGAGCGCAACGAGAGCGCG